CAAAACTACATCTCAAGTAATTATATAATGGAATATTTTATCTATGTAGAATGATTTGTAATAAATTAATAGTACTAACGGAGTCTCTCTTATCATTTGGACGCATCGCTTTGATATTTATAATTAAGTGGTAAACCACTTATTTTATTTTGTACAACCCGGTTACTGTAGAAAGACTTGATAACACATGTTAGACTATTGATGTTTTCAGATTGTTATTCGTATTCAGAACAGCTGCTAAATATGCGTTGTATAGTCTAGAGTTATATGTTTAAGTAATAAATACAATTGTCTACGAATTTTTAAACATCACGCTCATTGTGAGGAGTGAAGTGTTTTGTATCGAATCATTCCATCACCTAAATCGATAGTGATCTTTGAACTGACTGTGTTAGTAGCTTTTCAAACAATCAGGGCAAAAAGTACACGAGGTAAGCTGTAATATAGATTGATAACTGAAAACCTTTGGCGATAAAATTCGAAACCAACAAAACAGAGCATTTACATTCTCTCATTGTAATTCCTTGAATGTCAAGTAAATTAGCGTTCAAAATTCAGTTGTTTTCTGAATCATTTTTACATATTTAGAATTTATTTCGAAATGTCTTATGATTTTATAGTCTTGTTTAACTAGCAAGTTTTATAACGCAAACATTTGCTTTATTTTGTGAGCTCTTAATCCATTCAACTAGCGTTTCTTTTTTCGGGAAACATAGATGCATGTTGATTATTTTATGTTAGTTTATGATATATAAACCAATGTTCTTTGGAATGGTTATAGATAAATATTTAGCATGTATCAAACCTTCAAAATTGTATCGATGGCTTAGGTTTTCGGTGTTTATAAGATATTCTGCATATTGTTTAGGTTTAACAAAACGTGGAAAGTCTTTGTACACAGTGTCACCTGGCTTTGTCATATCTATGCCAAAGTGGTTCAATGACTACAAACATGATTATTTTACCTTACTTGGTTCGACAATTTTCATTTTTATATTGACACTAAGCTAAAAAAGCCTACGAAAAGCTACTTTGTCAATGGTTTTATAGTTTGATCTTACTATATGTCTGCATAGTTATTTTGAGGCTGTGATGACTACAACTTGTTATATAAACATAAGTATTTTATACCAAATGACTTAACTTTCTTTTATGATTTTTTATATTTGCCACTTTATGTATGAGTTTTGTGAAACGTCTTTCTATTTATCAGCTTGTAATCTTAAACTGCGGTAGAAATAATTTTTCACACTATGTCACATATAATTTTTTGTGTTCTTCACTTAGAGAAAATATCACTGTTGGTTTATAGTTAAAGCGCACATCTTATGCAGATTTTGTAGTCATAATTGCAGGTTGATTTCAATTTTATGGGTGGATTTACTTTGATTGATACTAGGAGGTTTCTGTATTTATTTCTCAGCAGTTTTATTATTGAGATTTCGATATTTCAGTTACTTTTTGGTAAGTATACTTAGCCACTCAAAAACCAAGTTAATTCAATCTGCATAAATGTCTCAATCTTCAGTTTAAGCGTTGTTCTGGTTGTTGTAGTTTGGTATTAAACATAGTTTCTATTTGTTTACTTTTGAAACGAGTTTATAGCAAGCAAATATTTCTTTGTTACTTATAAATGTACTATGTTTCATGAATATCGTAAACTGTGGGAGCATATACCACATTAGATATCTGCAGTTTTACTAGGTTACGCTTTAAATATTGTTCAAGTTAACTGGGAAATCATAAAAGAATGACTTTATACACTACAAACATGACTGTATCTGTATCGTTCTGAATACAACAAAGTATACTCATTTGTCGATAAATTAGACAAAAGATTAAAAAGTATACTTATAAAAATGTAACGAATACATGTTTATTGTATATCATATAAAAATATATATAATCAGTCTTTTTAAATGCTCTAGATTCTAGAGAAATTTTTCATTAGAAGTGACTTTATCTAACAAGGTTTTTCCTATTCCATCCTTAATATATATAGTTTTGCCACTTCCTTAGTTCAGCTGAGGTTTTATCACTAGTTAGTTTAACACAAACGTAGTGGGTATTATTTGCATTCCACGCGGATTTACAGTCATTTATTTCTCTTAAAAACGCGAGGTGTACATTTTAGCGGCCTTTGTATATTTGTCTTTTGTTTTAGATCGAGGTAATATTTGTAACTTTGGGGTTAAATTTAGTCTATCTCTTTCTAAGTATATATAAAATAACATTCTGACAGGGAGATGAATTTACAAAACCTTCTTTTATTGTTTTCAGGTTCATTATCAATCAGTTCAGGAAGAAATCATGTCATCTGTTAAAAGTCTTTTTTCAGTTGAACTAAAACGGTAACACAATCCAACTGTTTTCAATGTTCTATGTTGTAAATAACCGTGTCATATATACCTCTTATTTTTATATAACTGTAACAAACAACGATAAATTAAAAGATCAATTATCAACAAAAAACACTGTTTTCACCCAAATCTTCATTAGGTTTTCATTTAATATATAGAAATATTCAGAAGCATATATAAAAATACTAAACTAACTCGCCACTTATGAGTTAATGATCACAATAAAATAGATTATATAACCAAACACAATAAGTGAAAGGTATAAACTGATAGTCTGATAACAAGTATGCTAGTAATAATAAAAATAACAAAAGTTCTTAACATAAGAAGTAAGTCAAGACTTGAAGCAAAGCTTGATGAAAACCTAATTGGAAATTATATTTTTCGTTCATATGAGTTGTTCTAATTTAAAATACGAGAATTTTTTAATATTTTGAAATATGAACTATAAAAGAAAGTGATCGAATCAATGCATGGAAAAATTGTGACTAGAAATACTATAATAGCTTAATTGACAGACAACTGACAAAAATCAGTAAATTGGCAGATGAAAGCTAATAAATTTATGCACGGGAATAGAAATACTAGTAGGTAAGGAACAATTAGACATTGGGTAGGACCTTTAATTAATTAAGCAAAGCTTTTGATATTTAAAAATTACGAATTGTTTTCCACATTATACACGACTAACTAAATATCTTATATTTTGGTAAGTACATCAGCTTATTTGGTTCAGATAAAGTACTATTTCGTTCATAAATACCATTACACTACAATACATTGTGTTTATGAACCTGCCACGCATTGGTAAAAGTATACAGTTTTGATTGTTGTGTAATCGGCTTCACTGACGTTTATTATATTGAGATTTAACTTGACATCACTTGTTTTTACTCAACCCGTTGAACACATAGACATGTTCAGGTAACCTAAAGTGCAAAATATAACAGTGCATAATGATTTGCTTTAGCGAAATGAAGGAAAACTAATGAATTTTATAATTACATGGAAATATGTTAAATTCTATAGATTACTTGGAGTATTCCTATTTTTAGGAATTGTTTTTATCGATCAATTTAAATGTGATTAATTAATTAACGCTATTTTATATAATGAACATTATTTATTTATTTATTTGAACACATAAATATTGGTACAAAGGGGCACTGAATGCATATGCGCCACACAAGTCACTTGATTTTTGTGAGGGCTGTGATATTGCACGCGTGCCCAGACCAAAGTAGGTGGTTTTCTTAGGGAGTCACACACGGAGCCTTTGACCTAAAGGTTTAATCCACAAGACAGTGTAGCAACGTCAGGAGATGCAATCCTGTGATAGCCGGTGACCGACAGTAGGTTCATACAACATTTGTTCCTTTAGAATCCTAGAGCCCATATGTACTATTGGTTGTAAATCAAGGTTTTTCAACTTCTCTAGGTGGATCCTTCATATCCAGCAACCCAGGCAAAGCGCCGGACATTCGTTTTTCATCCTCTTCATTTCATAAACAACAGTAATGCCACGAGAAGGCAGTGAGTAGGACTTCCTTGGCAGTGGCTGTATATGCGTGGCAATGTGAGAGCATTTCGAGAGGGTGAACGGACTCTCCCCACCCTCGGCTGTACCAGGGCATTTGTGGGTAATAATGAACATAATCTCTTCTTATTTATGTTAATGAATTATTACGAACTCCTTAAGTAATTAGTAATATTAATAATAATACTGAGGCATTGTTTGCAAGATCATTTCAGTGATATGTAAAGTAATATCTTGATTCATTCAATCACTTAAAATCTATCAATTAGATTATGCTTTAATTAGTGGATTTGTTTTAATGTTTTGACAACTATTGTATTTCTTCTCAAGGATTTATTGGTAAATTTTATTAACAGTGTATCTTCATTAACCCTTAAAATAACTTGAATTATAGATACCAATTCTATACTACTATAAATTTATAACGTGAATAATTTTAATCATGCATAGCTAAATTGATCAGTAGCAGTTCCAATCTATAATATTTTGAGCTTTACGTATTTTTGAAAATCTATAATACTGGGAGAAGTATTTTTATTTCCACAAACAGGTTAAATTTGGATGGTATATTTATAACTTAATAGTTGAATTCATGAGTCAATTGAAACTAGACTACCATAGAAAACCTGAAAGCACTGAACAGCCGTTTCGTCCTAGTATGGGATTCCTCAGCAGTGCAAATCCATGATCCCAACTCGCAAGATTTGAATCCGGAACCTGTCGGTCTCGTGAGCGAACGTTTAACCTCTAGACCACTGAGCCGACATTCAATGGTGTTGATGTCTTGATAAGATGGAAAGAAAAGTCAGTTTTTGATTGATTTACTCATTATGAGTTCTGTTCAAGATTACTCCCGTTTTGATTACTCAATGTAGTATTTGTTTTCTTTTCTCGTATGATATTTTATCCGATATTTTTGTATTCCATTGACTTAAACTATGCTCACTATGTGGTTTGTTATAACTCTGAGTATTTTTCATATATGTGATTTCATCCTAATGATTAATTAAAATGGATGTTCAATCAATATATAAATGAGTGTATTTTTTACTGGGATTATCATCATCACTGTTATCGTCGTAGTTATAGTGTTTTGGGGCTAATAAATCTTCACTTATACCAGCCTTTGTGTTCCTACTTTCGCGTCGTGGGAATTGCAGAGGTCCCTCGTTCCGAGTGTAAGTGATCGGCGTTTTTCCGGCACAACAATCAGCTACGACAAGATATAACAATTGCGACGATCAAACATAACATGTCTAACTTTAACTAATCCAAAAAATTGGGCGACACATCCACCATTGTCTTCTGTGAGCTGCTATCTCACAACAGACCCGATTGAACTCCACTGGTCACTGCTTCTCACTAGAACTTTAGAAAATACCTCTTGGAGACCGTCACTAGTGAGCACATCATGAGTCAGTCGACTCGTGGATTCAACTATTAATATCCACAAAAACCCTCTCTGTTTATTTTTAACATTTAGAAAGACAAGTCACAGACTAATATAAAATAACATATTGCTTAGTTATTCAAATTTTAATCCAATGTATTTAAGCTAATTAGCCTCTTGCCAACAGTTAAACGTTATGTCAACCAACTGACAATCCAGTGTATATGATATGTCATTACAGGACGTTTTATTTGTAGTTTTCAAATTATAACTTCCACATTATTCTTATGTTATATTTCTTCTAGCTTCATTTCAAACAGATAACTTTTATACATAAATTTACGACTGTTAGGAGTGTTTATTTTTCAATTCATTTTGTGATGGGCAGCTCTTTCAGTTAAAATCTTCCCCAACTATACTCATTCTTGATTCTATAAAGGATTGATCTCATGATTTTAATGCTTTAATGAAAGCATATTACGTTTAAAACATGGATATAATAGTTAATGATCCTTATTTTCAAATTTTAATCAATTACTGATATATAATAGTTCTTCAATTCTATATACAGTTAGATATCTTCATATAAAACTCGATTTTTTATCAATTACAAATTCGACTCCATGTAAGTCTGAAATAGTAAATACATATCAGTGTAAAACCTCAAATTATGTGAAAAATAACTATCTATTATGGATCGTTTTTTTTAAAAAAAATTAATTTAATAGCATAACAGTTTTTTTACACTATGCGCACTGCTGAAGAACTCCACACTAGGACGAAACGGTTGTTCAGTGCTTTCAGGTTTTCCATGCAGGTCTAGCTTTAATTGACTCATGAGATCAACTATTAAATTATTAAGTTATTGATTAAAACTTATTATTATTTTCAGTATAAAAAGTGATATGATTAAACTTCATGAGCAAGTGATCAGTTTAAGAGATCTTGCACGTAATCATGAAGGTACAATAGCACGTAAAGAACAGATTATCTGTGATTTAACGGATAATATTAATAAGTTAAAAATTCAAGTGGAAATCAATTTGAAAAAGGAAAATGCTAAAAGAAAGGTAAGTATTGTTTCGATTTTCTTTAAAAAAATTTTATAAGCTTATTACGTAATAAAACACTTAATCGAGTTTTACGTTTTTTGATCATGAGTATACACTTCCTGTTAAATACATCCATATGAGCAATGACATTTCAGGTTACATGCCATTTATCGTCTTCTAATTTATTTGGTAACAACGACTACAAAATATATTTTGACTTTGATCTAATCATATTAAAAATATTTCGTTGGAAATTAATATTTTGATTCGACTTAAAATATGTCCATGATTTCTAGAAAAAGAATTTCGAATTCTATAAAATATTTTCGATTGGTGGAATGATAAAATAGAGTAAAAGAAAACAAACGTATTATGTATCACGATTCTTTGTTTTAAATTTTGTATTGACACTTCAAGACGAGATTTTCATAAATCTGGACTTATGATTATTGATACCAATTTAATCAGTTGTAAGGCTTAAATACTATCAATAAGATTTTGGAATGCATTATAGAGTTAAAGAATTACAGTGTAAAGTATTGAATATTAAATTTCAGTCCTAGTTGGAAATAATCATCTTGGTCATTATACATACGGTGAATTTTTAGATCCAGTAAGTTAAATGTCTTAAGATGCATTATGTCGAGTCCATTGATACGACGAATTCCTTGTTCATTAGTCAGAAAAGTAATTATTCGATGACATTTACTTAATAGTTCGTTCGACGGTCGTCCAATTAAATGTTAATAATTATGTTTTCTATAGCCGAGTCTAACGTGGTACATGAACAAGAAAGCTAAGAATTTGTAAGGAAGTCATATTGGCTATATACAACCTCTCGACCTTTAACCAAAACCTTAAAAAAATTATACAAACAACTTCAACTATTATCGTGCTCTCCCACATATTTTTTAATGAAGACCTTACTGTATTATAGATTGACTACAGTCGAAAGGTTTAGAGATATTGTGTTATTGTGAAAACCTGAAAATCGACCATTTGAACCTAAATAGGATCATAAGTTCTCTCTGTTGGATATTTTTGAATTAGTACAAATTAGCTATCTAGTCATGCCAGGTTTTTAGCATAATATTGACGTGTAGTAATCTATATTTAACAATATTGTCTTAACTGAAACATTAACAATGAATTTTCATGTTACTAATGTTTAAATTTCATCTAATTTTGTTAGGAATCAAGATTGTCACAAATGCCAGATAATTTATGGACGGCCATATCATACGAAGGCTCTATTCAGATATTTAAATTTTTGTCTACATAATGTTTCTTCATTTTCCATGTTTTTTTTATGGGAAAAATAAACAAAACTCACAGTCTTTATAAGCAAATATGGATGGTGACTAGTATCAGAATCCAGGACGCGCGTTTCGTTGTATTTGAGATTCCGCTGCTAACATCCATCCATATTTGCTTATAAAGTTTGTGACTTAAGGCAATATCGAGGCAATCCACATAGGATGCTTATATGCTAATAAGACACTGATCAATTATGGTTCTAAACAACAATAAGACGATACAAGCAAAAAACACCAAGTGGATTTAAAATTTTATTTACTTATTTATTTTTTAAAATTTCATAATCTAGTCATTTTGTGTCAAACTTGCTGATCGCTATTATAAACAAAATATTTTAAAACAAGCAATCGTTGGATGGAAACAATTCATGGAATATTCTTGGAAACAAAGAAATTTTCGACGACTTACTTTGGAAGCTCAGTCTGAATGTATAAAAATTAAACAAGAATTAAATCAAAAAATTCTTCAGGTAAATAGTGAACAGATGTATAATCTTATTTAGTTTACTCTACAAATTTGTTAGTTTTCATTTTGTTAAATCATAATTATACTTCAGATAGAAACAATAAAGTTTAACTAACTCATTTCACTTAATGATATCGATTCGTTTCCTTTTGAACAACTATCAATGTTCAGTTGATAATAATACAATGTATCCATCTATTGTTGTTATTATTATTAATGAATTTATTCAATATTATATTTTTGGTACAATACATAATTCTCAGCACAAAGTATTTCATCAAGTTTCCTTTCCCTATTTCTTCATCTATCCTAACGATAAATAGTGAGTTAACACCAGTTAAATGTTAATAGTTCAGACATCAACATCTGAACAATGATCATTCTTTTCAATGCATATTGACATGCAACACAATGTCTCTGATTGTACTTTTTCGTAAATTGTACGGCGAAAGATTGTAGACTTCATAAACGCGCCTAAATAGGTTATGCGATTATGAGCCATAATGATGTGTTAAAACAGACAGAAGATAGGTAACTTGTTGAGATATGTTGATGTCAGAAACAGGTAGCCTAGATATTCAGGCAGGCCGCCAAAGTATTTTTTAAATTTCGTTATCGCATTGTTGATTAAAGTGTTATTCTTTAAATTGTACTTATTAATTATGTTGCATCTTTGTATACATTTCGGTTGCTGTAGACTTCTTTACACTTAGAATTATTATAGAGGTTTATTGGTTTACTTCGATTGCATGTGGATATGAGTTTTTGTTTGAAATTTTCTTCTAGTGATACATGGTCTACAGTTATGATTATCCAATATGATACAGTGTGGTGTAGGTTACTTATTTCCACGTAAGTAGTATATAACGATGGTCAGACATAGAATGTATTTCGGTAGAAGGTCGATAAGGAAAGAACGGGAACGGAACGCATTTGGTATGAAAATACATGAACAATGAAATCTGAGACGATGGACTGATATTTGAAAAAGGAACAGTCAAGTTTGAGACGATGGATTGATATTTTGCAAATTAACTATTTAGACACTAACACCATTGGATGCCGGCTCAGTGGCCCAGTAGGTTAAGCGTTCGTGCTCGAGACAGAAGGCCCCGAGTTCGAATCCTGCGAGTGGGATCGTGGATGAGCACTGCTGAGGAGTCCTACAGTAGGACGAAACGGCTGTCCAGTGCTTCCAGGTTTCCAACGGTGGTCTGACATCAATCGGTTTATGATCGCAATCAAAAACTTAATAATCACCACAACCCCTATACTGATTTATTGTACAGATCTCAGATTTTAGTAAGATGCTCGGTAATTTCGTGTCAAATATATTCGATTGTCCCCACTCGTGTTCTTGTTCACTACAATGGTTTAAATGACCAATCTATTAACAGTAATGTGTAGAAAGATCATATTTATAAAAATTCTAAGGTAGCTAACTACCTGTTGCTAAGATAAAAACAAAGTACTAACTTGGTAGATTTATTTTCATAAATATTCACAATAAATTAGTTTGGAGATTATATTTGTTTTAAAAATTTACCAATTCATTTGCTGTTATATGTATTTCTTTGTATTCTTGTTTAAAAATACTTAGCTGGAGGCTGAGTTAAAAGTCAGTCAAAGTGAATTAGAATCAATGAAAGCAAAACAAGCTGGTGAACAAGCTGCACTGAAAACAGCATTAATGCGTGGTGTCTGTGCATTAAATATGGAAACAATGGCTGTATTCAATGAAACTCTGCCAAATTTGAATAAAGAATTTATAAATAAAAAGTTGACTGTTGATTCGCAAATTTTAAACAAAAACTATTGTACAGATGATCATTTGGAATTGGCTCAATTGACATCGAAGAAATTAAACGGTTGTCATTTAGATAGAACGATTCACAATCAATCAGATGAGATGATTTTCAACATACAGGCTGATCATATTGTGCAAGCCACTCATCAAAGTAGTGAGTATACAAACGTTTTAGCCTTAATGCTGCAACATACAAACGGCTATCGTAAGTATTGATTAGGTTGAAGGTCTTTGTTGCTTCGCTTGCTTGCGTGTGCGTGTTCTAGTGCAGTTGAGGGTGTCTAGATGTATTTATGTGTCCGCACGCGCTTAGGCAATGTGCTGTAGTTTTTTTTGCCCAATTTTCTGTGTTTCGTAATTTACGCTACAAATGATGCAGTGAGTTTTAGATAAACTTAACATAGTTTTTATAGCTTATTTTGTGGATATGTTTTTGATTTACATAATTTACTTTACCCTAGAAATATTCTGGACAATATTCGTAGTTTCAAGTTATTCTCATACAGTTGTTTCTAACAATAAATAAAGCGAAAAGGAAGAATCCATCTCTTAATGAGTAGGATAACTGTTTTCTCGTATAAACAAACTCTTCCTTATAAGATCCATCAAGCTTCCATTTCTCAATAAGTCCAATACTGAAGCATAGTTTGTGTAACTTATTCTGACTTCGTATATTGCATAATTCTACTACAGAGAGAGATAGGAAAGTTTGTATCCAGGGTCTCAGCATAGTTTTTTCATCACGACTCAACATTACAAAGCAAAATTTAGGAAGTTTATTACTCAAACTCAGTCGTTTATAGACAATGCATAGTTACTTAGTCGACAATTTGTAAAACGACTGATTTTTCACACAATCCCTAATAAGTAATATGGTCAAACTTTATTAATTCAATCGTAATGAGTGTTAAAACTCTGCACTATGAAACAAGCTCAAACTGGTAAATAAAAGCCAATCAGTGTTTTTACTGTTGTTTATTGGACTGGTTTTATGTTATCAGATATTTTAGAAATTTCCGGGTGTATAAATGCGATAAATGATCGACATAAATTCACCTCATCATCCCATATATTATAAATACATAGAAAAATGTTTCCCCTTAAGAATAAAACTGTATATTCTATTAAATTGGCCTTAATTGAGTGAATATCTACAGTATTACTGTACTTATATAATAAATTGAATGCCCCAATTGTCCTTTGTATTTATTAAGACACTGAGTTCTCTGATCATAACAGACAGAATTCTATGGAAGCATGGCCAAGAGATACAATTCGTAATGTTGAACCATCTTATAGTAATGTGATGAGAAAAGGAAACTGTGCAAAACCACTTAGTCATTCCACGGAAATCTGCGAACGTTGGTTAGGTCATCATGTGAGTTATATTATTGAATGTATTTTATGTTTAATTTTATCGATGTGTTCACCTTTTTATTTTTAATACATTGTTTGTACTTAATTAACAAAAAATTGTGAATCTTTATTTCATCAACCAAAAAACTTCAGATCCTATTGTTCAGTTCATCATCTGAATTATTGTTACGGTTGGATAACTTATGAGATATAACCCAAAATTGCCAATGATCTCATTTCAAATCATTATCAAAGTTTTAAATATTTTAAAACACTTCATCAATGAGCACACGGTCTACATAGTTATTTTTTAAAGACAGTTTTCATCACGGATTGAAATCAACTGTGGGATACTAAAAGACTTAAGAAACTGTGAACGAACTTTTCCTATCAATTATAAGCAGCATAGAGCCTGGCAAATACGTGTATCGGTTTAATTTACGGCTGCACAACAAGATCAATATATCAAGACAAATACTAGAATAGTAGAAATTGTAGCCGTACTCATAGTAGTAGAAAGGGATAGACACAGAATTCGATTCTAGAAGGACTTGTGAGTTCGCGAAATAAAAAAGAGTAAATCAATCTAAAATATAAGATCTAAGAGAAGACAAAGAGCGAATATATCTGGACGGTCTGATCGATTAAGAATCATGTCACAGCGTTTCCAACCATTAGTTGCGATAATCACACTGACCTCAGCCAGTTAGTCTAGACCTACCTATGTAGTTCAGTCAATAATTTCAAGATCTAACGTCATATCCTAGGCTTCTTGCAACGTACTTCTACGCAAGCTAATATCTCTTGCTGAGGTAATTGGAGGTTAGGAACACGTAATGTGTCCCAGACATTTCAGTCGATGAAGATTCACTACTTCATCAACTGAATGGCCATCTTCACCTAATACCCTGCAAGTAACTTCGGTATTGCTTACTCGATGGTCCAAACATATTGGAACATTATTCGTAAGCACCTATGATCAAAATCTCTGGTAATCCACGAACATCCATTTTTCAAGACTGGATTTTAAACCTAAAAACAAACAATTTACCTTAATTATTAAACATCTAGACATAAATCCATTTACAAATGTTCATACGATTTTAATCACTAAATCAAACGAGATTCGTTAAAAGCTTAGGCGATTTCTAGATCAAATTCATTTATAGCATTTGACATTATTTTTATCGATTATCTAAAAGATAAGTTAACATATGATACTACACTGTCAATGACCATTAACGATTAACACTAGTGTCTAAAAATCACGAACGTAGGCGAATTTAATAAATATACACTATTTATCCACTAAGGATTGAGCAATGTGATATCACTTTCCACATAGTAGTCAGTTGGTGTAAATATCTCAGTCGAACAGACTGTCAGTCACAACACTTATAGGCTAGAAATAACCTTTATGGTTGTAGCACTGTATTATAAAGGATTGAATTCAACAGGGAAAGTCATTAGTTTTCACTAGTTTACAGACATCCCTACGAACTTAAAATTTAGTTCCTAGATTTCTGCCTTCAAACATCCGATATCGCACTATGTATGGCTTATGAAATGCGGTCACTGTACCATGATGAAAATAATCCTAATTTATCAAAAAAAGGACTTTAATGCTTGGATATCACTGCTGTTGGAAAGGAGAGTGTATTAGAATTATCGCAGTCTGTTTACTTTGTGAATCTGTTCTTATTTTTCATAAAATGTTACTGATGGATGTCAGTAGCTATAGATAACAATTTTTGTCAAGAAAGACAAACAGTAGTAAGTCCCTTGTATTCTTTACACAAACTACAGCTTTTACGTAAATATATTTTACAGTGTAATAGGTTTTTATATAATAAACCAGAAAGTACCCAGGTGTATTAAAAGCTATGAAATTTAATAACATAAGCACATAAGCTTTAAAGAATCTTTTGAATTAACTAGTAACCGAGTAGCATAATATTGTAATTTTGAAAGTGGGCAAAAATATGTACGGAAAATAATTAGACATTTTTCATATGTTACACTTGAAGATAATGCACAACATTCCAAGCGACTTATACAGAACAGATGTTAATTTATCTGATGCACAAAATGGTTACTGAATAGTAAATAATGTATTTTTGTTTAATTTTTAAATGTGTTGCACTGTCTTCTAATGAAGTGTTTGGGGCGGAAAGTAAATCACAAACTGTTCATGAAGTTATTTTTCTTCCTTTTGATTGTTATTGTAATAAATACACCATAATAAACCTAACTAATATCTAGAAGTATTATTATTATTATTATTTGATCACATAAATATTGGTACATAGGGGCACCAGATACATATGCTCCACATAAACCATTCGATTTGTGTGAGGGCTGGAATACTATCCGGATGCCCAAGCCGAAACAGATGGTTTTCTTAGGGGATCACACACGGAGTCTTCGACCTAAAGGTCTGGTCCATAATGCAGTGGAGCAACCTCAGGAAATGCAGTCCCATGGTAGCCGGTGACCAACAATAGGCTCATACGCTCTTTATTCCTTGAGGATCCTGGAGCTTTTCATTCTCTCGATTTCGTAAACACCCCTACCGCGAGAAGGCAGTGAATAAGACATTACTGTTCACTTAAATGTCTCATTCTAATTTTCATAATGAGAATTCTGAATCGTATTGTGGTCACGTCACTTAATAGAACTGTTAATATTGTCATGTATTTTACGATTCAACAAATTGTGAGAGTCTTCTGCTAAAACAGACTCGAGTTTTAATATACCATATCTAGAAGTTCTTGCGAATCTTTGTCAAGTGTTGTCTCTTTCATTGAAAATTGATCATTTTACAAAATCGGATTGTTATTTTAGTGCTTTTCATTACCAAACAATATCACTTGGTGAATCACTAGGAAAAGGAATAAGGATTATATATTGTCAACAAATTTCTCAAGATACCTTAAAAAACTTTTCATAGGTGTTTAATTCGAATCAGTTTTTACAAATAAGTTACCACTTCTTAAATTATTACCAGCGTTACTTAATTTATTTTAGGGTGATTACAATGAGAACGATCCATTGAATTTGTCTGGCTTACCAACATATAAAACTCATGATCGTCATTTACATACAATTCAAAGTTTATCATACCAAGTAGATGAGAAAATATCCAATTCAGATCCAAGTGAATTAGAACATGGCAATCAAATGGTATGCTATTTGTTTAATAAAGAAAACTACTGTTTATATATTTCCTTTCTATTGTCTTTATATAAATTTCATAATGTTCTATTTCGATTAACTATCATTGAATACAGAATAATTCATTCCATCAATGAATTAAGACAACTCACAAAAAAATTTATGGATTTCCTTTGTGTTACTGTATCATGGAATACAGCAGGTCGGTAAACTACTAAGGTTGTTAAGTAGCATGATTATGACAACAAAATTACTATACAAGGAAATAACTTGCTTTTACAACTTGATTGCGGCTTTTTTGTATCAATGTTATTATTATTTCATATTTAATGGAATTGATAAAATCCATTTTGAAAAATTTAAACTACGTCTAGCATTTTTCCTTAACCGAAATGTTTTATAGTTTTACAATTTATTTAATCTAAAATTTATCTGATTGTTTGCTGTTTTAAAGATGATACACTGTTGTTGTTTGGTTTAAGGTGATTTTGTTATTTTCTGAAATATTTACACTAAGCACCGACGATTCCGTTTTTAAAAATAAATTTCGTCAGTGATTGATACCAATTATAGTATCAATGAAAACTAGTTATTGAGACAAAAAAAGGTTGAGTACTGAAGCATATGAATTTGATGGATGTTTTAATGCAAATGCCCTGGTACGGCCGAGAGTGAAGAGGGTCAGCTCTCCCTCACGAAATACTCTCATATGGCTACGTGCATACAACCACTACCTACTCATTTCCTTCTCGTGGAAGGGATGTTGTTTACGAAATTGAGTGGACAAAAAGCACATGTCCGGTGCTTTAACCGAGTTGGTGAATATGGACGATCCACCTAGAGGAGTTGGAAAAACCTAATTCCAAACAAATGGTGCACACGAGCTCCAGTATCCCTAAAGAAAAAATGGCGTATGAACCAGTCGTTGGTCACCGGCTACCACGGGACTGCATCTACTGACGTTTCTCCGCCGCATTGTGGATCCGACCTTTAGGTCGAAGACTCCTAGTGTGGCCCACTAAGAAAACCATCTGCTTCGGTTTGGGAATCCTGACAGTATCCAAGCCCTCACACAAATCAAATGAGATTTCTGTGGTTCATATATATCTGGTGCCCCCTTGTACCAATGCTTATGTATTTAAATAAATAAATAAAATCAGTAGTTTACAGGGATCTTAAAATGTAGACTGCAAAGAAATAACTACTTTAGTGGTCTCCAAATTGATAGTATATCGTGATACGTATGTCTCGTCACTAAATAAATGTACCAGAAAAACAATAAATTCACTCAATTTGGTGCTTTTGTTCACTTCTCACAGTATCGTATTGTAAAGCATAAAATAGAAAGTGGGATGCTTTTTTCTGATTTCTGGATACACCTGAACATTGTGCTCAGTTTGACCATAGAAATATTTGTATTCAGTGAAAAACGTTTCTGTATTTTGATAATTTCTGAGATCATTTCCATTTCTATAAAATGCAGGATGACAAATGGTTACCAAACAAAGATTTAGCCCCGAACAAAAATTACGACACATCTTTTCGAATCAATATAAACTCTACGAATTCTAAACATGAAAAACCCGACCGCAACTTGTATGATGGAAAAACTCATACGACAGCTGAAAATGCTAAAAAGATGTTAAGTTCACGAAATTCATCAAATCGTTTTTATTCTACGGTGAAACAAAATAAATTATCATATCCAAGACCTCAAACTGTACAGCATGGAATACCTACTGGAAACTATCCAAATGGTTCTACAGCTATGGTTAATATCTTAGTTCACCGACATCAAACCGGTAATCAGGTAAACTATTTTATATTTTTTCACATGTCTCTCAATTATCTTTTTTGGAGCTGTTTGTACTTCATATAATAGTTGAACAACTACTTATATCCACATAAATAGTATATAACGATGGTCAGACATAGAATGTATTTAGGTAGAAGATCAATAAGAAAAGAACGTGAGCGGAACGCAGTTGGTATGAAAATACATGAACAATGGAATCTGAGACGATGGACTGATATTTGAAAAAGGAACAGTCACGTTTGGAAATTAAGTATTTATTGTATAGTTCTCAGATTTTTGTAAGATGTTCTGTAATCTTGTGTTCACATACATTCAGTTGTCCCCACTCGTGTCCTCGTTCACTACAATTTGGTATAACATATTTTCAAACGAAACATATTTTACATAAATGATAGTTCTTTAGTTAATTCATCAAATGCAGAATGTTTACAAAAACATAAACATGATGCATTGGTATAAATAGTATAGCTATTTTAAGTTTCAACTCTACTCAACCGAATCAAGTTTGCTGGTCAGAATAATGTCTAGCTTTAGCATAGTAGAGTAACTGAAAGATTAGAAAATGAATTCGTTCAAGGTTGCTGAGTTGCTTAAACATATATCTTTGAATGAGACACTACTGTTCACTTAAATATCTCATTCTCATAATGAGAATTCTGAATCGTATTGTGGTCAGGTCACTTAGTGGGACTGTTAATATTGTCATGTATATTACGATTCAGCGAAATGTGAGAAACTTCTGTTAAATAACTGTTAAAAAAGACTCAAGTTTTAGTATACCATTAAATTTTAATGGTAAGAAAGGTCAGTTCATTTTTTTTTATTTTATCAGACAAGATCATTTTAAGTAGCTTGATTACTCACTTATTCGATACTGAGCTTGAATAATTAAACATGCATAAGGTAACGATATCGTAACTGAACTTTTATTTTCAATAAACAAAACAGATAGTTCATTCTTGTTACTATATCAGTTCAATACGGGATAGGTGGTGAAGTAGTCGAACGCGTCGACAACTTCACTCATCAAAAATTTCATGCAGTTAGTTCCCTTTATGAATTTAAATAAAACCTGAACAAATATTGATACAGAATACTATGAATTCGTTTTATTTCGAGGCTTCTCGTCAGCTGCTTACAACCAAATGTGTATTAGAATTTAATATTGAGGGACAATTTACATAATTGAATGTAAATAATCGGAATAACAAAGGTTATCAATAATAACTATATATATATGCATGAACAGGTCAGAGGTTATTTGATGTTAGAATCAAGGAAACAATTAAGGATGGGTGGTGTCATAGTTGAGTGGAGTTCAGAGACAGATAAGATAAAATGTATTCATACTATTCTGCATCAATATTTGTTCTGGTTTTATTTAACTTCATTTATGTTGGAAGTTTGATCAACACTAATGGGTTGGTAGTTGACTAAATCTCAGCACGGATTCGAAAAGCTCGCTTGACTTTTTCCAAATTGCGTAATCTGTGGTGAAGTTGAGATATCCGTCTATCAATTAAGAGACGAGTATATTGCGCGGCAGTTCGTTCTGTTCTACTTTACGACTGCGAAACGTGGCCATTAGGGGTAGATATCTTAGAAATATTGCTCGCATTTTCTGGGATCATCGGGTAAGTAATAGTGAGGTTAAACGCAGGGTATTAGGGAATGATGGTAAATCAGTTGATGAGGTTGTGAATCTTCATCGACTGAGATGGTTGGGCCACGTGTTACATATGCCTGAACACCGATTAACACAACGCGCAATGCTGATTAGTGTTGGAGGTGGTTGGAAGAGAGTTAGGGGTGGTCAGACCAAAACGTGTCATCAGTGCTTGAAGTCACTAACTTTTAGTCTTAACCATGTTGGTAGATGCAGACTACTTGGTTGTGGTCCGCGTGACTATCGTAATCAATGGTTGGAGACTCTTGGCGACATGGCTCAGAATCGATCATAATTGCGTAGGTGTATACACTCTTTGTCTTCCCTTAAACTAAGTGATTAAAATCGCTTCATGTCTTTCTTTCTACGAACTAATCCTTATTCCCTGTATCATATCCTTATATGAAACCCTTTTTTCTATGCATTACTACCATTGAAGTAACTGCTTTTATGAATTTGGTGTTCATCTCCCAGTGCTAATGAGGTATGGAAACTTGGACCAATGCATACATGTACCTGGTCCTACGTTGTAGCTGACTGACTGAGGTGATTGTTACGTAAATGGTTTGAAATTTATTTGTTCCATAAATTCATTTTCAGGTTAACTTATTATGATATTTTTATCATCAATATCACTTCATGATAAAAACAATATAACTACCAAATTTAGTTTTAATAAAAAATTCTTTTATAAATATTTCCCTTTTAGATAAACTCAACAGAAAATGTAAATACTCATAAGCATACAACTAATTCAACAGGAGTACATTATTCACATTGTCAACATAATCTTTCATCAACACCACGTTTCTATTCTGATTCTTATTCTCATAGACATGTTTAAATGAATTAAAATGTAACATTTTTTTTACTTCTTATTTATATAATTGATGAAGGTATAGTTAACCAATAAATGTATGTATTCTATTATCATATTTTCATACGTTGCTAGAATGATCTATAAATAAACCTTATTTAAACATTATAGTTATTCTTATATAAGTTCACCTATTTCTTTAAAATATACACATATATTTTTTTTCTAGTAGGAGTTATTTCATTCAAAATATATAATTCTATCATTCACAATGGAAATATGAATCTTTCAAGGTAACAGAATTGTTGAATAATCACTGATAATACAGATTTGAATTACTTCATCACTAACCAGTTTTATGAACAATCAACAATAATTCAAGTTTGACCGTGAAATATATACATAAGTTATTAGTAAAAATTGTAATGATGCGTGAAAAAAAAAGATTGTACTCCGTTTACTTGTTTACATTTAATTATCTTAAAGTTAATATTCATTTGATAGACTTGCTTGTTAATTATATGAGTTTGTTTACTATCTAAACTTTCAAAAGACTGGGTTCTCAATTTCTAAAAGTGAAACACTATATAATTACTAATTGACTTAATGTAAGAACATAAAGATCCTTAGGTAAGAATTGTAACAAGCTTGTATTTACTAAGTACACAAGCAAATAATATAACAGGTTAGCATTTTACGTTGCAAACTGTTGGGAAAGATGCTACAGGATAATCAAGAAATCCATTTACACCCTCTTTTCAGCTGATGAGTAATTGAAAGGAATCATTAACTTAAATTATTGAAAATATATTTTTTTGGATTATAGTTATTTCAAGACACCGTACTCAATGAGAAACTGGACGGTCTCATATTTATATCTAGTGTAGGATGATCGGTGATTATTGATGAAAAATCTCAAATTTAGATGAAATAACTAATGTTTTCTGACTTTTAATTGTTCTCTAGATGATATAAACTTATAATCGAAGCTTTTTTCAAACTTTAATGATAATCGCATTATCTTTAACAAGGAAAATCTTATGACATAATCAATTTCGTTAGAAAGTATACTTAGTTTGTTTTTAACTCTTACCAAGTTTCTGTATCATTAGGAATTTTTCTTATATTTGAATCCTGTGTAGGATAGGAAATTAGTACAACGTCTCAAGACAGGACAAAGTTTGTGTTTTATATTGAACAAAGACTCAATTTCAAATGAATGTTTTAGAGTCCTTAACCAGCACAAATGAGGTAGTTGAAAGAAACGGCAGAATGTTTATATATCACACTATATTATTGTGAATCATTGAAAAAAATGATGTTAAGATAACCCATTTTAAAATAAAACAATAGGTCAGGTTTGAGACAGTAATAAATTCAAAGTTATGGAAAAACATGCTACAGTTGTTCATAGTTTATGATGCAGCAGCATGTTGGTCCTCAGAGTAATGAAAAATTTAGAGACCATCGTTTTTCTTTGTGAATTGGTTGAAAAAATTTCATACCTCACCAATCTATTTCAACTCCTTACCTAGTACTCTATTCACAACCCCGTCATGGCTTACACCGTGGTCCTAAAATGCACAAGTAATGCTCCGTAAACACCTGTGATCGAATACCAGTAACCTACGAATATTCTCTGTTCTTAATGGACATATTTCGCATCCATAAAGTAGGACGGAGAGGACTGCTGGGCAGTAAACTCGTCACGCGATTGGAAGACGGACATTTTCCCTACACCAGTCGAGCCTTCTGAACCCGTATCGAGACTTCGTCGGACACCAGACCGTCAGGACTAATGAGAATCCAACATTAGTGAAGCGGTCGATGCGTCACTCCTTATCACTAACTCAGGCGATGACTAAAGCCAATCCCGAAGTAGCACTTCACGTTTGAAGGAAGAGAACCACATCCCAAACATACTCGCATTGTTGTTTAATGTGATCAAAAGACTGCATTTCGTCAGCATATTTACCAAGCAGAGCTATATTGTCTGCATATTCTGAGTCAACAAGCGAATCTCCCGGTGGGAGATCAATCCTTGAAAGGTTAGACGGTGAAAGTGTTACCTCTTAACGCATATCTATGACGAAGTTAAATAAAAGTAGGGAAAGCGAACAACCCTGACGAACACCACTTGAAGCAACCAATTCCGATGACAGTTCGCCATCAGCTCTGACTCGACCAGCAGTGTTCAAGTAGAGAGTCTGTACAGTGTTAGTATACTTATTTGGTACGCCTTTCAATGACACACTGCCACAGAACCTCACGATCAACGAAATTGGACGCCGCTCTGAAGTCGAGGAACACAACTAGTCGGACATCAAAAGTATGTCCATGTTCCAGAATCTGACTGTTTGGTCTATACATCCACGTCCAGGTCTGAAAATGGCCTGGTTTTTTCGGGCTCGCTCTAGTCAGACGTCGAAGTACTATTGAGGCTAATATTTTAGAAAACACATTAGTTAAACTGATTGTCATAAAAGGATTTTTGTCCTTCCTCATGGATTGGGACGATCAGCAGTCCAGACCGGTTAGATGGGATTACGTTCACTTCCGAGACTTTAGCCAAGATTTCAGTTAACCTAACTGCTAAAACTAGACTACCATCCTTAGAAAACTCAGGGGATGGTATTTAAGGCTCTGTCTTGCTTTAGATTACTTACAGCTTTTTCAACCTCACTAAGAGTTGGAAGACTTACATCAGTTTGCCAGACAGTGGGCAACTGAATTGTGGCTGAAGACCAGTTGAACCGTTCCTTAAAGTGTTCGGCACATCGGTTCAATCTCCAGCATTGAGAGTGAATAACAGTGTCGTCTTCTTTTGAGATAGTTTCACTCATAGTGGGGTTTCTAATACCTAATAACTTGGTAAGTCTGCACAGTTGTCTACTGTCACATATCGCTGCTGCCTTTCCCACATCTGCTTTCACCACTCACCACTGCTTACGATCATTTCACGGTCGACTAGCTCGGTCTCTAGTTATTGCTGAGATATATTCTGAACTTCTTAATCCTAAAGTTCATCTCAAAGGGTTTTTCTTGTTGTGGCTTTTCTACACAGATATATACGTGATCGAACTAGATCATGACCCAAGTCTAAACATGTGCTTTAAGATGAGCGAGTTTCCTATCGGATCCCTCCAACAATGGCTAGTGGCAATCTAATCTGATTCCATCGATGGTGATGGCCGGCACGTCAGACGACGTTTCTCCGTTTTAAGTTGATGTTTGTCAGAAATATAGTTATTGGAGCATAGTTGCGACATACGGTCGCAATTATCTGTTCACTGACCTGCAGTACCGTCAGATACGCTTTATTGCCAATTGGTTTGGCTTAATTTACCTACTTGATCATTAAAATCACCTGCCACTATTACTACATCAGAGCGCTTAGCCTTTTGAGGGAGGTTGCACAGATCACTATAAAATTTATTTTAACTTCGTCCGAGCTGCAGTCAGTGGGAGCGTAGGTAGAGACAATCAGAATCTAACGGTGCGTGTCCTTATCTTCTCGAATTCTGTCCTGTATAGTCAGACAGCGAAAAAGCGACTTTCCATCGGGATCCAATCTAATGGAGCCTGTTCTGTTTCTGAACTTAATGATATACCTGTACCAGTGAGGTCCCGGGAAATAGCAGTGGGGTCTTCAGATACTCGAACAGTAAATTGTGTCGAGTTTTTACATTGACAAGTTGAGATCAAATGAACTGTACCTGGATCCTGTATGTGCGTTTCGGAGAAGCAGTATATTTCGATGGCGCGAGATTTCAGAGTCCTAGATAAAGAAGCCATTTGCATCATCTGGTATAAGTTTCAAACATTAAAAGTTTCAACATATAGTTTAGAGAGGGTTTCAGGAGACGGGAAGTAACAGTTCATAAACTCAAATCATTAGTAGTGGCGGCGCGTGACGATAAAGATATGCCAAAAGTTTTCCTTGGGGATGAGAGGATTATTAAGAGATGAGGGAGAGACTTAACCGTCAGAAAGATGATCTTGAGTGCTGACAGAATTTTGAGGGCGGTTGCACTTTCAGGTTGCCCACACCGTGAAAGGATATTTCTTCTTAAGGGACCTGGGTTAGACAGCTAATGATCAGGAGTTGATGAACATGTATATCGTTGTAAAGTAGCTATTTCAAACAAAATCACTTGTGCAAAAAACTTAAGAAGTATTACTATGTACGTGTTTAAAATTAGAGTTTAGTATGCAAAATAGATTTCGGATTATATGTACAAAAAGCGTGTGAAAATTTATTCATCGAATATAATGTGCTTGCAATCAGTCTTATTACTTGGAGGTATACAATTAGTGAATGATGTAGGATGATGATCTGTAGACTTTTGTTTTTGACGTTTGTTTAATTGTGAAGTCCGATGACGTTCTCTAGCATTTAACTTAGATTTGATAATATTGTCACAGTACGCCTGTTCACTAGGACCTTCAAGAATACGTGCTGTTGCTCCATGAATTGTAGAAAGATTAACAGACTGTACCAATTTCAGAGCAGTTTTATTATTTTTCATTCGAATAAAAAGAGGAACAAATTCATCTGAGGAAAGTGATTCATTTAGATTAGCATTTGGTATTATACAACACCCAAATTGGTTAACTGAATCCAATAGACTTTGGTTAGGGTTTGGGTCTACATGAGCAACATCTTTTAAGAGATTACATGGAACAAGAAGATTCTTTTCTAGACTAATACGCAGACATCGAGCAAATGATAACTTCTTCGGTGCTATCAGTATATCACCAAGACCATCAGACAGATGTGTATCTGCTGCATCTCCTTTGGGAATCATTACTGAAGGCCAATATATCTAAAAAAATAAGTAAAACTATCCATCATAGGAGTAATCACTGAATGAAACTTTGCACATTTCGAAAACAAGAAATAATATTTTTTTCAGTATTTGATTATCGAACGTATTATGTCAAAAAAGAATAGGCACGAAAATAAAATAAACTCTCTAAAATTTTAGTTTAAAAAGGATTGTGAGAATCAGTACAGACTTGCAATTATTTAACAACTGCGACTGAAAATATATTGAAGTGTTACTTTTTACAGTATGAGTGCATTCGCAATATCCAATATCTATTGATACAATACTTCTACTGCTTTAACACAATCATTATAAAAGTGAATCAAACCAATTTTTGAGGAGAAAACTGATTGATTAAGTGAGGATTACATGGATTGTATACACAAATTACAACGATCTTGAACATAAGAATAAGTACATGTGAGAATGAAAAATTTGCTAAATGATAAGCATGATGCATGTTCACCGCCTCTTGATAAAAATTTTAACAGAAGTAGCACAGTATTAGCGCTATTCTCAAATAAGTATGACTGTTACATTAAATTGAAGCAATTGTAACGAGGTCCTTGCTGTCCATCATCATTGTAATAGTAGTACTAAAAAACGTGGCATCAGTTCATAAAGTTATTTATTGTTGATCTGACCCATGTTAGTAGATGCAAGCTACTTGGTTAAGACTCGTACAATTATCATGACTGCTGGTTGAGGATGCTGAGTAACTTGGTTCGGAATCAGTCGCAATGACATAATTCATATGTCTATCAATCCAGTGTCATGAGATTGCAAAGTAAAATGAAGCTATTTGTTACGAAGTACTATTAACGAGTTCGTTTACTATTCTCTAACAGTATATTCTTTGAAATCTATGGGTAGATAATGTGTCGTTAAACTGTTTTCCTTCAAAAGAAATACAGTTAGTTATCGAAAAATAATTACAGCTAGCTAGCGAAGACAAAACAGACAAAAAAGAAACCTAACCTGAACAATGGAATTCGGAACAAAATTATTTGGAAGTGCTTGCGGTCTAGTTGAAGATTCATCTAAACATTTTACTGGCAGTGAATTTCGATTCATTTCAGAATCTATTTGATAACATTCTTTCTCTTCCATACTGGCATCCTCATCATAATCATCATTGTTACTAATATTTTTGTTAGTCATTAATTCAGTTTTATGATGCATTCTTACAATCCATGCTTGTTGCCACAGATAAAACTTTTGCTTCCAAAATATCCAATCAGAATAACGAAATACACGTAGTTTAGATTGACATGGTTCATAAGTACGATTGTTTTTAACATAATTCAGTATAGCCTCAGTAGAGTTATCACCAAGTATAATTGAATAATCTAAGTATAAAGAAAAATTCCAATGAACAGAAGCAAAACATAAATAATACCTGTTTATATCAATCACAGATGACATAAATACAGGAAAATGAAACAATTTTCTCTAGTGTTTTGCTACTGTAATCAGATTTATATGGTGAACAGAGAAGAACACTGTTCGTATGTGACTTAAAAGCATTACATATCTAGACCGATTCTGAAAAATAGCGAAAATCTAGTGGTTACACTGAGTTAGAAATCCATAAAACAAGCATCTTTGATATGATTACTGACAACTTATAGTTAGGTTTGGTCATGAAAGGACATCAGCCAGAGGACCATTGAAAACTAAGTACCAATAGGCATGTTTCACTTTAGTTTGAGACTCATCTGAGACGGAAGCACATGAATTTACACAATGTTGAACCGAATGTCTTAAAGTCATACAGTGAGTATGAGAAACGGCTTTTGGATCTGAATAAGAAATAAATATACATTAGTTGTTGAATAAGTGATAGTGACTTAACAACCAACAGAAGAGCTCTCTTAGATTTGAAACAGTTAACAAGACGGTCGACTCTTTAGGGGGAAATTAATACTAGGTTTAACTGTTAACAACCATTAAAAGTAAATTTTTATTTGGTTAGAATAACCTTAGACTACAGCCTATGAAAGTTCAACTCTATAAAGAAATGAAGTAATTCACATGTAAAAGAGATACATCAACGTTTTTACGAAATATATGTTGATTCAATGACAGAAAATAATTGTTCAGAACTGGAAGAGAAATGATCCGTTCTTTAATATTCAATAACAGAATTAAAATTTTAAAAATAGCAATGATTATCTAAATCTGTCTGTAGCTCTTCTAGGGTTACTTGTGGTCCCAAGACCGGGTAAAGGTGGAGGGTTAGGCATGATGTAACCAACCCCACCCAGAAGAAAACCTTGCTAAATCCGCTAACCAGAATAAATAATTTAAACCATTTAAAATCTGCTCTCGGAGTTGAAGGAAGAATCATGACGCCTCTTGTTGAAAGCTGAGATTCTTCGAAAGTCATAAGGCTGAAGCCCCTTGTAACAACCAGAGTAACAATTAATTTAGGTACATGGAATGTTCAGACAATTCTGGAGACTGGGAGGACTAATGAAATAGCTGCAGAAATGAAGAGATACAACTTGACGGTGATCGAAATCAGTGAAACCGATTGGACCGAAGCTGGACAGAAAAGGTTAGGTATAAGAGAGATGCTGCTGTACTCTAGTCACGAAGAAAAAAATGCTCCACACACTGAGAGAGTTACTCACATACTGTTCAAAGAACCTCGGGATGCACTTATTGGGTGGGAATCTCATGGATACAGGATCATCAAGGCATTTTTCAAAACAAGGAAGGAGGGTATCACAACGAATGTTATCCAGTGTTACGCACCCACCAGTGATAGCAACGATGACAATAAAGATCACTTTTTGAGAGGCTGCAATCTATAATGGCGAAGTGCTCATAAAATGACTCGACCATCCAGGTGGTAGACCTAAACGCCAAAATCGGAATGAACAACAGTGAGTATGAAGATATCATGGGACATGGACTGAATAGGAGAATGGTGACAGATTTGCAAATTTATGTACATTCGACAAAATGGTTATGGGCGGCACAATATTCCCTTTCAAACCCATATACCAAGCTACAGGGGTCTCACTGCGTCACATTACGGAGAACCAGATCGATCATATATGCATCATTAAAAATCAAGAAAGTCAATAGAAAACATGAGAAGCAGGAGAAGAGTTGACATAGGTTCAGATCACCACCTGGTGGTTACCGAGATGAAACGAAGCTAAAGAAACATTGGACAACTAGAGAAACAGTATTACAAAGGCTCGATAGAGCCTTCCTTAGACATACTGAAAAAACCTAACAAACTCAAGATAGCATAAAAGAAACACTAACTTATACATGTTAGGAGGGTCTGGGACGCAACAAACATCATCAGAAAGAATGGATCTCTTTGGAAATCTTGTAAAAGATTTATGAAAGAAAGGACAAGAAGACAGTAATTATCAACAGCTAAGCAAGAGCAGAGAAAGTCAAGAAACACACCCAATACACAGAAGCAAACAAGCAAGTGAGGAATAGCATTGGAGCTGACAAGGAGAAATACGTGGAAGACCTAGTAATGACAGTGGGAAAAACTGCACAAGGTAAATATGAAACAACTATATTACATGATGAAGAAACTGGCAGGGAAATATAGTAAACCAGAGACCGGCCAAATACAAAGAAGGCAATATAAGTACTGAGATTCAAGAACAGAGGAACGGGTGTGTAGAACACATTGAAGAACTCTTGAATAAAAATGCCCAACTGAACACAGCTCCATCCGACTCACCGAACGTCGAAGCAACACTCCCAGACCTTCCTAGAGATGTCAGTCCACCAACGATGTAAAAAACCAAGATGGCTGTCAGACAAATTAACAGTGGGAAAACACCAGGATCTGACGGTTTGCCAGCCGAAGCACTCAAGCCAGACATAGCAATAACTGCAAACACACTCCACATTCTTCTTAGGAAGATTTGAGAGGAAGAACAAGTGCCGATGGAAATACTGGAAAGAAGGACACCTCATCAATATACCAAAGAAAGGAGATCTGAGCAAATGTGAGAACTACAGAGGCATCACACTACTATCGATATCAGGAAAAGTTTTCAACCGAGGTTTGCTTAACCGGATGAAAGATTCAGTAGACACCCAACCTCGAGATCAACAGACCGGATCCCATAAGGTTCGGTCGTGCACAGACCGAATTGCGACACTACGGATCATCGTTAAACAATCAATTGAATGGAACTCAGCACAATACATCAACTTCCTTGACCATGAGGTGTTCAACAGCATGGATAGGAGGAACTTATCGGACCTTTTTCGATACCATGGTGCACCTGAGATCACCAATATCATGAAGAATTCATACGACGGACCACACTGCAAGGTTGTGCATGGAGGGCAGCTGACAGATGCATCTCAAATGAGGACCGGAGTCAGACAAGGCTGCTTAGTCTCTCCCGTTCTCTTTCTTCTAGTGGTTGACTGGATTATGAAGACAGCCACATCGGAGAGGGAACATGGAATACAATGGAAAACTCGGAATCAATTACACGACTTCGACTTCGCAGATGACCTGGCCTTTCTATCTCAAACACACCAACAAATGCAGATCAAAACAGCCAGTGTAGCAGCAGCGGCCTCTGCATCAGTAGACCTCAACATACACAAGGAAAATGCAAGATCCTCAAACACAACACGGGGAACACCAACTTAATCACACTTGATGGAGAAGCTCTGGAACCTGTGGAAAATTTCATGTAGCTGTTCAGCAGCATCATTGACAAACAAGGAGTATCGGACGCACACATAAAGACAAGGATTGGCAAAGCATGGGCCGCATTCCTACAGTTGAAGAACATATGGAACTCAAAATAACTGTCAACCAATATCAAAGTTAGAATCTTCAATACGGACGTCAAGGCAGTTCTATTGTACGGAGATGAAGCTTGGAGAACTACTACAACCATCATTAAGAAGGTACAAGTATTTATTGACAATTATCTACGCATGATACTTAGTTTCTGTTGACCGGATACCATCAGTAACAACCTACTGTGGGAGGGAACAAACCACCTTCCAACTGAAAAGGAAATTAGGAAGACATTGAAAGTGGATAAGACATACATTACGAGAATCATTAAACTGCACCACAAGGCAAGTGGTAACTTGGAATCCTGAAGGGAGAGGGGAAAGAGGAAGGCTGAAGAACACACTGATTCGGGAATTTGAAGCAGACATCAATGGAATGAATAGCAACTGGAAAGAATTGCCCAGGACAGAGTTGAATGGGGAGTGCTAGTGGGCAGCTTATGCTCGTCCATGAGGGATAACAGGCGTGAGTAAGTAATAATTACCGTTTTGTCAATGGAAGAGTTAAACATTCAATGAATTGTATGAATATTAAAATCATAATTAAATATATATATATATATATATATATATATATATATATATATATATATATATATATATCAGCTTACATTCCTTATCACATGGATTACTAGCAGTGTATCCGACCTGACGTAAATGTTTGAACGCTGCAATAAGTTGTTTATTCTTTCGAGAGCAACAACGCCAAATATGCCGTCTGGCTAACATTTGCTGAGGTGAAAAAGAGACTTTAGATGCAAGTCGTGGTTTCCATGCTGCTTCTGGACAATCAGATACTTCATTTGTTTCTAATAAACATACAGATCATAAAAAGAATTAAGTAAATTAAAAAAGACATGAAAACAAAACTTTATTACAAAATAAAATATTCATCAATCTAGTTTGTATAAAAAATGTACTTAGTGCTTGTGGTCATTTAAATACTAATGTTCTTACCTTGAGAATTATAACTGTTATGCTTTTTCCAAGGTATAATGATTAAACCATATTCAGATAATTAGTTTAGTTAACGCTTGCTTTCCTCAGGGTCAACCGTCAGAAAGATAGTATGAAAAAACTATAATACATATAGTGCGCACCAACTAGTAAAAACCAGTTTATCACGTGTGTATATGAATAACATTATGCAGGATTCGCGACATTAAGAGAGTTATCTGGACATTAAAGCCAACTTGTGGGAAATATACTTTGGAGATATGATATAAGTAAAATTCTTATTAACAATACGAATTGAAGCCTAACCACATACTCCATTCAGAACTTTTGTCAGAGTGATTAAGCTGAGAGTAAATCACAGTTAGTCAGCCATGATGAATACAGTTAATCTATAGTAAGAAATTTGTAGTGAATTTAGGAACAGAATTGCAAATAATGCCACTGAGAAAACAATATTTTTATATCTATTTGTTTTGTAAATAAATTAAAATTATAAAACACGTGTCGTTTAACGATGTTTGGTAAAAATAAACGACGTCACACTATTTATAAAAAAACTCAAGATGTAGAGTGAGTGCAAATAATCAAGAGGAAATTTTGAACTTAGGTTTCGTGTGACTTGCCATAAGTCAGAAATACGTACCAGCAATCTCGAGAACTGATGCTTCCCTGGCGGACTAGATTTCACATATGATAGGTGAACAAGAACCTTTCAAAAATATCTTCAGTGGTTTCCACCATTTTTTAATTTTTGAAGGGCATTTTGGAATATATCAACAAAGCTTTCGACCTTGCCATTGGATTGGGGATAGGATGGACGTGTTGGATACCATTGATTTCATTCTGCCGACAAAATTCTGAGAAGATAGAAGAAAACTGAGAAACGACTGAATAGTTGACATAGTTTTCTGACTGTGCAGTTTGCAGTTGGATGTCCCATGAGGGAGATTTCTGGCCACTTGCTGTATGCATCAACTAACAAAAGGTACGTTTGACTATGAAGTGGACCAGTAAAGTCAATTTATACACTGCAACGGTGACTGCGGTATTGACCATGTCTGCAGCTGTTTTTCGTGATTTTTGTTACTAATGAGCATTTTTTATACTAACAGGATAGCTGCTCAAGTTGGATGTCCAAGTGCAGCCAGTATATATAACTTAGTGATAGAGCTATCATGCAATTTATCTCTGGATACTCTACATGCAATTTTTCAACCACTGTTGCTGGAACATGTTTTAATGCAATCTATATCTGATTAACATTATTGAACGAATAAACTGAATCACGTTTGAAAGCAAACAGTTGTTTCATCAAAGACAACGAGCATTTTTTCACATAAAGTAAAAAATCTTTCGAATGATACACAATTACAAAACGTAGAAAATAAACTACTTACCAGTAGGTTGCACGAGCCATTGTTCATTTTCCATGAAAAGACACATGTGTTTAACAGCTTTTCTAGCAGATTTAGACGTTCTGAATTCAACGAAAGCAAATCCTCGAAAAGAACTGGAGTGATGATAACTAAAATTAACAAGTATATGTTATGTCATTTAGAAAATTCACTACTATGCAACCAATTATAGTATGGAATCATTGTTCACAACACATTTTCCATGAAGTCTTTAGTGTATTTCTTCGTTGGGTAATAAAAATATCACGTTGTATTACGTTCAGTACATCAAATTCTACCTTTATAGTGTGAACTCTAGGTTAGTCGACTTAAATCCATAGTCTGTCAAATACGGTTCTAAATGATTGAATTGAACAATTTCAACTGAAATATCTCAGTGATATCATCTCTTAGTATGACAAAGAAGTGTGGTGGCTCGCAACTCTGAGAAGGCATCAGCATCTTTGAAATGCCACACACGACTTACTGATGAGTATCAACAAGCAAAAACACCAAGTCTAAAGCTTCGATTACACTGACATCATACCGTAATATCATTAAACGCAATGAGTCAATCCAGGTCAGTCAAACAACCACAACGTAGAACCTGGTACGTATGTACATCGGTTCAAGTTGCCATATCCCATTAGCACAGAGAGATGAAATTGTCAGACCGAATCCCAAAATAGTAGAGGTAGTAACAGTATCAATGGTAACACGAAAGATCAAGCATCAAAGACACGACTCAAAGGTAAACTATGCATTAGTGAAATGAAAACAAAATAGTTATGAGGAATTTAGAATTTCAGGATTTGGGAAAGACAAAAAAACGAATGCACCTGCACAATTACAAACGATTTTAAGTCATGTCATTCAAAGTCTAACGATTAGTTATGATGATCGCGCGGACCCCAACTGGATAACCTACACCTATCAATATGGCGAAGTCCAACTGTCAGTGACATCATGGACTGGTGACATGTTTTGGTTTGACCGCCCTTGGCTCTCTTCCAACCTACTTCTACACCAGAAAACACTGCCCATCGAGGTAGGTGGTGATTGGGAATACGTAACACATGTCCCAACCACCTCAGTTGATGGAAATTTCATACCTCACCAATCTATTTCAACTCCTTACCTAGTACTCTATTCACAACCCCGTCATGGCTTACACCGTGGTCCTAAAATGCACAAGTAATGCTCCGTAAACACCTGTGATCGAATACCAGTAACCTACGAATATTCTCTGTTCTTAATGGACATATTTCGCATCCATAAAGTAGGACGGAGAGGACTGCTGGGCAGTAAACTCGTCACGCGATTGGAAGACGGACATTTTCCCTACGCCAGTCGAGCCTTCTGAACCCGTATCGAGACTTCGTCGGACACCAGACCGTCAGGACTAATGAGAATCCAACATAAGTGAAGCGGTCGATGCGTCACTCCTTATCACTAACTCAGGCGATGACTAAAGCCAACCCCGAAGTAGCACTTCACGTTTGAAGGAAGAGAACCACATCCCAAACATACTCGCATTGTTGTTTAATGTGATCAAAAGACTGCATTTCGTCAGCATATTTACCAAGCAGAGCTATATTGTCTGCATATTCTGAGTCAACAAGCGAATCTCCCGGTGGGAGATCAATCCTTGAAAGGTTAGACGGTGAAAGTGTTACCTCTTAACGCATATCTATGACGAAGTTAAATAAAAGTAGGGAAAGCGAACAACCCTGACGAACACCACTTGAAGCAACCAATTCCGATGACAGTTCGCCATCAGCTCTGACTCGACCAGCAGTGTTCAAGTAGAGAGTCTGTACAGTGTTAGTGTACTTATTTGGCACGCCTTTCAATGACACACTGCCACAGAACCTCACGATCAACGAAATTGGACGCCGCTCTGAAATCGAGGAACACAACTAGTCGGACATCAAAAGTATGTCCATGTTCCAGAATCTGACTGTTTGGTCTATACATCCACGTCCAGGTCTGAAAATGGCCTGGTTTTTTCGGGCTCGCTCTAGTCAGACGTCGAAGTACTATTGAGGCTAATATTTTAGACAACACATTAGTTAAACTGATTGTCATAAAAGGATTTTTGTCCTTCCTCATGGATTGGGACGATCAGCAGTCCAGATCGGTTAGATGGGATTACGTTCACTTCCGAGACTTTAGTCAAGATTTCAGTTAACCTAACTGCTAAAACTAGACTACCATCCTTAGAAAACTCAGGGGATGGTATTTAAGGCTCTGTCTTGCTTTAGATTACTTACAGCTTTTTCAACCTCACTAAGAGTTGGAAGACTTACATCAGTTTGCCAGACAGTGGGCAACTGAATTGTGGCTGAAGACCAGTTGAACCGTTCCTTAAAGTGTTCGGCACATCGGTTCAATCTCCAGCATTGAGAGTGAATAACAGTGTCGTCTTCTTTTGAGATAGTTTCACTCATAGTGGGGTTTCTAATACCTAATAACTTGGTAAGTCTGCACAGTTGTCTACTGTCACATATCGCTGCTGCCTTTTCCACATCTGCTTTCACCACTCACCACTGCTTACGATCATTTCACGGTCGACTAGCTCGGTCTCTAGTTATTGCTGAGATATATTCTGAACTTCTTAATCCTAAAGTTCATCTCAAAGGGTTTTTCTTGTTGTGGCTTTTCTACACAGATATATACGTGATCGAACTAGATCATGACCCAAGTCTAAACATGTGCTTTAAGATGAGCGAGTTTCCTATCGGATCCCTCCAACAATGGCTAGTGGCAATCTAATCTGATTCCATCGATAATGGAGGTTGCCACGTCTAGTTACCAGATCTTAGCTAAGATTTCAGCACTGACCGCAATGATGAACAATGTAGATTAGTGTCCATATTTAAAACCTGACAGAGTAGTCAATGAATAAAGAAGATGAGATGATGGAATTTCGGTTTATCACTAAATAATTGAGTGATTTAAGAATTGATAAAACTTGTTAGACCACCCATAAATACCAACTAAATATTTATACACTAAGTACTAGATAAGCTTTACACCTCACAAAGCACTGCACCGTCTCAGGTTGCCACACTTTACTATAGCACAGAAAAGAATCAACAAAGATAAGTTAAGCAATGAACTTTACTTTGTTATTTGAGAAACAGGATTCGGGGATTATTTTATCAGATCACTCCAAGGGTTGTTTAGATTTTTAATAAGGAAATTAAAGTAGTTCCATGATGTTGATAAGGTAACCAGGTGAACTAATAGAAACTAGAGAAATTCAAGACTCTAAAAATACTTGACAACATACGTCCAGTTCAAGAACAAAGATCTCACGTTGTTTTTAGGCACAGTCCAAGATGCATCACTATATTTTACATCATTACAGGAATAAAGAACTAACGAGGACGGCAAAGACGAGAAAATAATGACAAAAAGAGCAGATATAAACAGAAACGAACAGCATCATGCAGTAGGAAATGCACCACAATTGTTTTGTCGCCCGACTCCGCTAACCAAAAACAATTGTGGTAGAGGCTATCTTTGAAGTAACTGCTAATTATTATTACTACATTATTATTGTTATTATTATTATTATTTAAACGCATAAACATTGGTACGAAGAGGTACCACTTCGTCATTCGATTTGTGTGAGGGCTGGAATACTGCCCGGGCGCCTAAATTGAAGCAAATGGTTTTCTTATGGGGCCACACCAGGAGTCTACGACTTAAAGGTATGATCTACAATACAGTGGAGTAACGTCAGGAGATACAGTCCTGTGGTAGCCGGTGACCAATAATAGGTTCATACACCATTTATTCCTTCAGTATATTTGAACCCATGTGCACTATCTGTTTGGAACCAGTTTTTCAACTTCTCTAGGTGGATCCTTTATATCCAGTAACCCTGGTAAGGCGCCGGACATTCGTTTTTCGTCCTCTCAATTTCGTAAACACCCGCGCAGCGAGAAGGCGGTGAGTATGACTTCCCTGGCAGTGGCTGTATGCGCGTGACCATGTGGGAGCATTCCGAGAGGGAGAGCGGACCCTTACAATCCTCAGCCGTACCACGGCATTTGGGGACTAAACAAGTACATCAAACTACATAAGCTCTCAAATAATATTTTGAAATTTTATTAGGCATTCTTACCATAGGTCATGAAAACTTGAAACGTACTATTCTTCCCAGTCATACTCTACTTCAATATAAAAATTTTGATAGAGTTGCCTTGTTGACCTCCGGGACCTCTAGTGTGGCAGGGCAAGAATTAAAGGTGATGGTTAAGCATTAATTTTATTCCGGAACGAATTGTCTATAGTTCATACATGATCTAATCGTCTAGTTGTTAACTAAATTCTAATCGTATACATTCTTGTCTTCAGTAATTTGTATATAAACGTGGGATCTTGATAGAAAAGGCCTACTTTACCGAGTACATATCTTTTGATGCCAGTTCAAATGATCTATATGATGACTGGAAGTCCTAGGTTGTAAAGTGAAGTTTATAAATAAATTGTAGCAAATCTAGCTAAAACGACGACTTATATAAATGAGAAAATGTGTGCGATAATTGATTTGTGAGAAATTACAGAAAAAAAAAGACCCTGTATGTTATACTGGACAAGTTAATCGGGAAAGAAGCGGTAAAATTATGAGATCTTACCGAGGTAAACTGACAAATAGGACTTCACCGTATTCTTCAAATACATTCCGAATCCAGTCACCAAGTTCCCAGCTTGCTGAGGTCATTTTTTTCAGCTCATTTTCACTTGGTTTTGAACTTGGCTTGTGAGGATTATTGTCTACATCTACGTTTTCAGTTATTTCGATGGATGAACGTGGAAGTCCTGTAACTAAGATAGTTCGTCTCTCACGAGGTCCCAACTCAGATAACGGCAATACTCGGACAATAGCCAACCCTAGTTTGGTTTAAGCAAAAGGAATATAGTACTTCATGTAGACCTCAATCACAGCATTAAAACTATATATACGCAAAATGATACAGAAAAAACGTAAATTTTACTAAAGAGACAAAAAGTATGCTAAGCTTTCCTTCATCAAATTACCAAGAAGTTTCAAGAATGCAACCATCAATTTTAAAATCACGGCTAGCAAGTAACTTACCATCATCAGACAGATTCAGAATTTTCGATGTTCCAACAACACTTTTTAGAATATCCTCAGTAACATTCATAGAGATCATACGATTACACTTCAGTAGCAGATCTATTGGGATACCACCATCATCTCGTTTTTGCATTTCCTGTTTGAAAAAGCTATCGCGATTTAAGTTTCCTTCGCTTAAATAAAACTCAACTTGACGTAATATCTTTATATTATTTTGATCGTTCGATGCAAGATCTTTAGAAAGACTCATGATCTCGGTCTTCTGGTAACAGTGAACAGTCAAGATATCAAGAATAACACGTTATTTATCGATTGCGTCGAACCACAATAGTAACTTTGAGAAACCTGAATAAAAATGAAGACGACTAAGAACTACACGAAACAGGTTGAACAAGAAAAAGCTAATAACTTCATTGGATTAAGCTATGATTTTTAGGCAGCACAAAATTTCAGATCAAAGAACAAAATATATCTTAAGTACGGACTAAAAGGGCGATGAAAAAAAGGAATGTCAATGCGACAAAGATCATATGTTAATGGAAGATGATTAAAACCGAATTTAGAGGCAATATCCCAGGTAACTCTGACTTCTATTACACCATACTGATACTATTTCTGCATATTTCTCCAACACTATTATTCCAATTCACATATGGGCAATTCAAAAGTGGGCAACTACCCCAAAGTTCAATAACAATTAAGTTTTCCCAAAGTTTTAAGATACATTTCCTCAAAATTCAAGAGAATTTCCTCAGACTTGGGAAAATTTTCGGGTTCTCGTGCCACTTATCTGAAATTGTCCCGAAACGGACAAAAAATTTTCCATAAAACAAGAGGGTCGGGAGTTTTTTCCAACATGACTCTTGCTTGCCGTAATCTTAAATTACGAAATCTAATATCCTACATCTATTTGTAAAATACTGCCCCATCATTGATACGAATATTAATAGCAATTTCCTGTTCAAAATTCGTTTCTTTAATTCAACCATAAGGTGCAGCAAACAAAAGTGACTCACAGCATTGAGCAGCTCATGGTTTCAACTTCGTTGAAACTAGCAACCGATAAATTCAACTATCGATCCTAACGGAATATGGTTTGTTCATAGATGATTCTACTGACCAACTACATGAAATTTTCCACAGGTTCCAGAGCTTCTCCACCAAGTGTGATTAAGTTGGTGTTCCCCGTGTTGTGTTTGAGGATCTTGCATTTTCCTTGTGTATGTTGAGGTCTACTGATGCAGAGGCCGCTGCTGCTACACTGGATGTTTTGATCTGCATTTGTTGGTGTGTTTGAGATAGAAAGGCCAGGTCATCTGCGAAGTCGAAGTCGTGTAATTGATTCCGAGTTTTCCATTGTATTCCATGTTCCCTCTCCGATGTGGCTGTCTTCATAATCCAGTCAACCACTAGAAGAAAGAGAACGGGAGAGACTAAGCAGCCTTGTCTGACTCCGGTCCTCATTTGAGATGCATCTGTCAGCTGCCCTCCATGCACAACCTTGCAGTGTGGTCCGTCGTATGAATTCTTCATGATATTGGTGACCTCAGGTGCACCATGGTATCGAAGAAGGTCCGATAAGTTCCTCCTATCCACGCTGTTGAACACCTCATGGTCAAGGAAGTTGATGTATTGTGCTGAGTTCCATTCAATTGATTGTTTAACGATGATCCGTAGTGTCGCAATTCGGTCTGTGCACGACCGAACCTTATGGGATCCGGTCTGTTGATCTCGAGGTTGGGTGTCTACTGAATCTTTCATCCGGTTAAGCAAACCTCGGTTGAAAACTTTTCCTGATATCGATAGTAGTGTGATGCCTCTGTAGTTCTCACATTTGCTCAGATCTCCTTTCTTTGGTATATTGATGAGGTGTCCTTCTTTCCAGTATTTCCATCGGCACTTGTTCTTCCTCTCAAATCTTCCTAAGAAGAATGTGGAGTGTGTTTGCAGTTATTGCTATGTCTGGCTTGAGTGCTTCGGCTGGCAAACCGTCAGATCCTGGTGTTTTCCCACTGTTAATTTGTCTGACAGCCATCTTGGTTTTTTACATCGTTGGTGGACTGACATCTCTAGGAAGGTCTGGGAGTGTTGCTTCGACGTTCGGTGAGTCGGATGGAGCTGTGTTCAGTTGGGCATTTTTATTCAAGAGTTCTTCAATGTGTTCTACACACCCGTTCCTCTGTTCTTGAATCTCAGTACTTATATTGCCTTCTTTGTATTTGGCCGGTCTCTGGTTTACTATATTTCCCTGCCAGTTTCTTCGTCATGTAATATAGTTGTTTCATATTTACCTTGTGCAGTTTTTCCCACTGTCATTACTAGGTCTTCCACGTATTTCTCCTTGTCAGCTCCAATGCTATTCTTCACTTGCTTATCCACCTGTCTATTCTAGTTGGCGTTTTTTAGCAGTGTTTTTTTGCGTAGTGGTTTTGATGACCCCATACCCAAACCTCTTCTTGTACTGTTTTTTAGACCGATAGTAACCACAATAACGCTGTATACGGAGTTCCCTGTTTTCTTGTCGGCTGGAAATTCATATCACTAAAATTTCAGTTCCTAGAATTGCTCTATCTAATTCGGCTATAGTGAACACTCAGGGGAACCGCCTACTAAGAGTTGCACAAATGTAAAAGAATTTCACATCACTTCCAGCTGATGCGAGATACTCTTTTTGTACGAAAACGTTCCGCAATCTACCAGAACATTAGGCATTTTCGACACACGTTTGGATGCCGAAATTGGTGATGAATTGGACTTCTGGTGGGCTCATACATGCACATATTTTAAAAAAGCGACTTTCCGTTTTAGTGTATTTTTGCGCCCAAGATGTTTACACCGTGCCTATGTCTTTCCGGATAACTAATCTATTCTAGAGACTGAAGATGCCACAGGTATTCGGAGTTTGACAACGCTTTAACCAGTAACACTGAAGATACCACGGGTATTCGGAGTTTGACAACGCTTTAACCAGTAACACTTTCTAATACGAAGCGCACCCACCAAGTAAAATCAAAAGACAGAAGCGAGGAGATCGAAGATATATTTGATAAGCTATCAATATATCGAGGATCGTTTGCACTAATCTGGCTAGCGATTGAGGCAGATGTTGAGCACGGCGTTCCCACACGTGATCTGGTGCGGATGCTTGATCGAGCGCCTTCAGCTAGATGAGTCCACTAAAACTGTGGTCAGCATCCAATGTCGAAAACTTACAGAGCTATTTGATTTTGGGGAATTATTTACCGCTACAAATCACTCCCCCCCTAGTGGGGTAGTGATGACCCTAAGACGTGGTCAGCCAGAAGTTTAAACCCAACGAGATTTTCGTTGGTAAACACTCTTCTGATAGCTTGCTAGGTTTAGCAGCGTCTGGTCGTCTTTCCTTACTATAATGGACCATGATGTACAATATAGTAAAAAAAAGGTACAATGCAGATTTTCGTTTTTCGCAACTTCATCGTTCTTTTCATCGTCTTTTCCAGTCGTCCTGGAAAAGAAAAGAAAAATATGTAAGTGCATGTCGGAAAACACTCGTACGCGCGTGAGAACATAAAACGGGCGAAGAAAAAGGAAAACAAACTCATGCTCACGTAGTAGCGTAAAATAAGATTTTTATAGTATCGTTATTTTTTTTGTTTTTTTCTTTTTTGAAATAAAAAAAATAATATATAAGCATATTAAATTCAGGTTTTTTTTAAAAAAAATTCTATATAGTACCAGGGAAAATCGAGGGGATATAAAATGTTAACTTGTGTCTTACGTGCAGTAATCGTTCAAGTGTTCTGGAAATCTTACTCTTCTTCCAGAACGCGTTGTTTTGAGTTTATTTTCGGATACTGTCGCAGTATCAACGTGTGTGTCTGCTGTCGATTGAGGCATTATAAGCGCAGGAGTTGTGTCGTTCGATTGTATTGAAGGAAAATCGACGTGAATGGGATTTCCTTCTAAATACGCTGCTTTGAGGCGATCGATGCTGATGCTTTCGTTGGTTCCGTTCTTATCTATTATATAGTACTTAGATTCGCGTTGAAGAACTTTGAAAGGTCCTTCATATGTTGATTCGAGAGGTCGTCGATGCGAGTCTCGACGCACGAAAACGTGTGTACTATGTAGTAAGTCAGGTTGAACGAAAACATCAGTTGATTGTGGTCGAGTGGAAACAGGTTTAACTGAACGCATTGCGTTTGTAAGCCTGTTAGCGTAGGAGGTTAGATCCATGTCCATCGAGGAGGATGAAGGGTCCACGAATTCTCCTGGAAGTCGAAGGGTCGTACCATAAACGAGTTGAGATGCAGTGTATCCAATGTCAGATTTCACTGCATTGCGTATGCCTAGTAAGACGAGTGGAAGAGCGTCAGTCCACTGAGAAATGTTTGAGGCTGATAGTGACGCTTTTAGTTGTCGGTGAAAAAGTTCTACTAACCCGTTTGCTTGTGGGTGGTAGGCCGTCGTTCGAAAGCGAGTGATTCCTAGTTTCATGGTCAGACAACGGAACAGTTCAGATTCAAACTGACGACCACGATCTGTAGTAATGGTTGTTGGGCAGCCGAAGTTTGCTACCCACCTCTCGACGAAGGCGCGGGCCACTGTTTCAGCAGTAATATCTTTGATGGGTACTGCTTCTGGTTATCGAGTAAAACGGTCTACGCATGTTAAAAGATAAGAATATCCATTCGAATCTGGTAAAGGTCCTACCAAATCCAAATGAACATGATTGAAGCGTGCATCGGGAGTTTTAAACGAGCCTAAGGGACATGTGTTATGCCTAATAACCTTAGATTTCTGGCAGCTTACACAGGAGCGTGCCCACTCCCTCACATCTTTATTCATACCAGGCCAGCAAAACCGTTCTGCTATAAGCTTGATGGTTGCACGAACACCTGGATGAGAAAGTCTGTGCAACGTATCGAAGACGTTGCGTCGATATTGTTTCGGCACCTGTAGATGTGTCACAAAGTAAGGTTTCCTTACCTGTTCCCATCTGTTTAATGCGTAGTTTAAGTGTTGTTGAGGCCAACTCGTGCTGAAGATCACTGTCTTCTTTTTGAAGTTGGGCGAGTTTTAAAAGGTCGATTCCTTGATAACTGTTCAAGGAATTTATACGAGACAGGGCGTCTGCAACTACATTGTTTGCTCCAGAAATGTGTCGAATATCTGAAGTAAACTGCGAAATGTAGTCCAGTTGTCGAGACTCACATGGTGAGTACTTGTCCGAAGAAGAGCTTAAGGAGAAGGTAAGTGGTTTATGGTCGGTAAAAATGATAAATTCATGGCCTTCTATATAGTGTTGAAAATGCCGGACAGCACAATACATAGCTAGGAGTTCCCTACCGAATGTGCTGTACCTCGATTCAGTGTCTAGCAACCGTCTAGAGAAAAATGCCAAAGGTTGCTACAAGTGGTTAACCCATTGTTGTAAGACTGCTCCGATTGCTGAGCCGGATGCGTCTACTGAGATGCTAATGGGCGCTTTAGGGTCCTGATGAGCAAGCATTGCTGCTCGGGCGATATGTTCCTTAACCGTGGAGAATGCTTTTCGGGTAGTGTCATCTAGATTAATGGATTTCGCATTTCCACGAAGTTGGTCGGTAAGGGGTTTCATAAGTAACGCGCATTTCGGTATGAATCGTCTATAAAAACTCACCAGACCGTTAAACGTGCTCAATTGCTTGATGGTGGTCGGTTCTGGGTAATCCAGGATGGCCGCCACTTTTGTTCTAAGGGATCGAATGCCATGCGCATCTATAGTGTGTCCTAAGAAGTCTAAGGATTCGGTTCCGATTTGGCATTCCTGAATATTTACGGTAATGCCATGTTTTTGTAGTCGGTCGAAAACAAGGTCCAGATGCTGGAGATGTGATTCTCTGTCCGGACTTGCTATAAGACAGTCATCAACGTATGCATGTACGAAGTTGAGACCTCGAAAAACGTCATCTATGAACCTTTGGAAAGTCTGTGCCGCGTTTCTCAGACCGAAAGGCATTCGCAAAAATTCATAGAGTCCGAAGGGCGTTATAATAGCGGTTTTTGGAATGTCTTCAGTGGCCATAGGAATTTGGCTATACGCTTTTACCAAGTCAATTTTTGAAAAGACAGTTGCACCTTTCAAGGTAGCTGTCAAATCGTGAATGTGGGGCAACGGGTAACGATCGGGAACGGTTTTTGCATTCAATCTGCGATAGTCACCAGTTGGACGCCAATCGTTCCTGTCCTTTTTAGGGACCATGTGCAACGGAGATGCCCATGGGCTATTTGACGGTCGTATGATTCCTAAGTTTATCATATGGTCGAATTCGTTTTTCGCCAACCTTAACTTTTCGGGGGCCAGTCGGCGTGCTTTGGAGAATACAGGTGGTTCTGTAGTCGTGATGTGATGTGTAACATTGCTGGTTACACACGGCAATTTCGGTTGCGATTGCTAAATGCCAGAATATTTATCGAGTAGTGGTTGGTAGAAGGGGTCTATAGTGTGCTTAATAATGACTGGAGATAACCTGCAACCAGAAAAAGAAGTCGGGCAAACAGATAAAGTAGTGTTTCCGTCTACTAGTCTGTGTTTGTGCGTATCGATAATTAGGTTGTGGTGTTGTAGAAGGTCCATACCAATCATGGGCATAGAAACATCTGCAACAACAAAAATCCAGTGAATGGGTTTGCGTAAACCCACGTTAAGATAAACATACCTTTGGCCATAAGTAGCGATAGGCTTTCCGTCTGCCGCCTGTAGATTTAAAACAGGCTCGTGTAGCCTGTCGTCGGAATTCGCTGGGAAAACGCTAACCTCTGCGCCAGTATCTACGAGGTAGCGAACTCTCGTTATCACATCAGTGACATATAAAAGACGGCTATGATCGCCGGCTACGGTCGCCGTTAACGCGTGCCGGCTTGGAAGTTTCCCGAAACGTTCTTCGCGTCGACGGATTTCGCGTTGGGGAAATTGCAGGGTTTTCTGCAATTTCTGGCAGACTTTCCCTACTGGTTATGGTACCAGCACCAATCAGGATTATCCGTCTCTCGAGTTCTAGATACGGATCGCCTACGTGATGTGCTTCTCCGCGGAGTAAGTGATCGTTTACGGTCGTTACCGAGTTTAAGATAACGCGTAAGTGTATGACATAACTGTGTTATGTCATTCTGGGTCGTTTGAGGCTTTTCTTTGACTGAAAAAACCTCGGCGTTAGGAGACCTAGTGATCTCGAGAATGCGATCGGCAGATGCCGCTAGTTCGTCTACGGCGTTGTTTTGGAACGAGACCAAAACAGCTTGCACCTGTTGAGGAAGTTTGGATAAGAAAAGTTGCTTGAATAGGCCGTCATCGAAGGTTCTTTGGCCAATGACTTCTCGTATTCTTTGCAACATGTCTGTGGCAGAACCGTGTTGCAGGTCGATGTTGTTAAGGAGTTGGTCTAACCTTTGTCGATCGGTTAGATCTCCGCGTTTAAGGATGGCATGTTTCAGGGTTTGGTATGGATCAGAAACATCACTAGTAAACATACTAGGTGTTACGTACCTAGTGAATTCGCGCGGTAGTGCCTTGACTACTGCGAGGAATTGTGCACGCGCATCGTTCACACCGTGCTCGTAGAAGTCGGCTTCTGCATAACAAAACCAGGCTTCGATGTTGTCTGGCCAGAAAGGCATTAGCTGGAAAGAAGGTGAGGACACAGTCTTTAACTTTAATACTTTAGGGGTCTGTTCAGTCATAGTAATATATCAAGTACGAAAAGTGAACGAGTGGGAAATATATATATAAACCCAAAAACACGGGAAAAAAATATCACAATGTTAAAAAAAATTAAAATAAGACAATGATATATAAAATCACAAAAAGGAACAGACTCACAGTTTACAATATGGTGTACCAGATCACGTCGGGCTCACCAATGAAGATGCCACAGGTATTGGGAGTTTGACAACGCTTTAACCAGTAACACTTTCTAATACGAAGCACACCCACCAAGTAAAATCAAAAGACAGAAGCGAGGAGATCGAAGATATATTTGATAAGCTATCAATACATCGAAGATCGCCTGATCTAATCCGGCTAGCGACTGCAGTAGATGTTGATCACGGCGTTCCCACACGTGATCTGGTGCGGATGCTTGATCGAGCGCCTTCAGCTAGATGAGTCCACTAAAACTGTGGTCAGCATCCAATGTCGAAAACTTACAGAGCTATTTGATTTTGGGGAATTATTTACCGCTACAACACCTAATATGAATCGTAACCACCAAGTGAAATCAAAAGACAGAAGCGAAGAGGTTCGAAGATATATCTGATAGGTTATCAATACATCGAAGATCGCCTGATCTAATCTGGCTAGCGACTGCAGTAGATGTTGATCACGGCGTTCCTATTCGTGATCTGGTGCGGATGCACCGGCTAGGTGAGTACATTAAAGCTAATGTAGTCAGCATCCAATGTCGAAGACTTACAGAGCTATTGATTTTGGGGATTTATTTACCTCCACAAGACCACAAGATCACTCTTGACTATACATTTCCTTTTTGCACCTGATTATTTCATACAAACTGCAGAGCAATTATTCAGGCTTGACTGAATTTCGTTATTTTTTCTTTAAATCGGGTTCTTCCTTGTTTTTGACTATAGGGCGACTCAAAAAAAGTTTGTGTGTTTGTAAACATAATCTCACATTCCAGATGTTCTATTCCATGATTTAAGTCAAGAACTACTCACTAGTATTCGGGTTTTCTCTATCGATAAAAATGAGGATTACCCGCTAGCAGCGAAAATCTGCTTCTTTTTACCATAAAATAAAGGTCAAATTACGTTTTGGTTTCAGTGGAAGTGAAAGGAGATAATTTAATTGCCCATCCTTCAGTCGTACTTATTTCTGGTAGCCCTCATTGTTTTTGAGCTCAATGAGAGAACCGTGAGAGTCCATATGTTTTTTGAAGTGTAGACACAATTCACAATTTGGGAACACTATCAGACTAAAAAATAACATGGTCGCAATTAATGAGTTTAATTTCAGAACGGTGAGTGGGAAAGGGCTTAAATCAGTAGTGGTGAGCAACAGTAAAAAACGGGTGAAGATTAAACTGGGACACACTAATAAGGTCAGGTATGGATCAACTACTTAAATTATGTAGGTCGCTGAAAACATATTAAGAAGATACTCAATTGAAAGTCAGGCTACATAGTGTCTTATTCAATCAGACCTCAATTATCGACACAGATTAACCACACTGGTAACACATAGGCCAATGACTTTTCAGTCACCTGGGATTTTTATTTGCTCTTATGTGCTCGCCGTTTTGATAGTCTCTTTATTGACAATGCTATTATTACTGCTCTCCTTTATTACTTCGTATCTATTTCGCTCTCACTCTGCTAAATGGATAACGTTTATCATATTTCTGGAATGGGCTCAGGGGTGAACCTTTCACTGATATACAAATAGGTAGTGGTTTGCGCCGGGCGTATGCTAGGGGAGCTTGCAAGGAATGGTAGGTAAAGTGACCAGATGACTCAGAAAGCACAAATAATGGAGTTACATTCAAGCATGAAGCAGACTGACAACGAATGACAATGATACAATCGTAGGCTAAATAAATTTGAAACTGGGAGTTATTAGTAAACGTGTCACATATACTCATGGTTTGACAACGTTGTATTCCGTAGCACTTTTAAAATCAAGGTTTTAAACCCAGTCAAAGCAGGAATGAAGGAGCTCAAAGATATAGTTGGAAGGCAATTCATATACCACGAAGTATATTATCTTAAAGGACTAGTTATTGCAATGAATTTTTAGCACGGAGTTCCCAATAGTGATCTGATGAGGGTGTTTGACTGAGCACTTTCACCGGGATTTGTACAGCAAAACTAATGAGATCAGGGTCAGTGCTGATGACTGACAGAAATACTTATTCTACGGATTTATTTGCCACTACAGTAGAGCAATATTTCAAATGAGTTACCCATTATTTACGTTTAACAGCTAAAGGAAAATCCATTGATGGGTCAGTAAACAACATACGAATAATAAACCGCTAAGAGGCATACATCTGCTTTTGAAATATCGAAGGACCATGTTGTCAGGGTGATTGAAGAAATCATTTCTTTCACATTTGAGTTTGAATATCTCAATTGTTACCTTGAAATCTATGGTTACTGCTTAAGCAAATGCGGTCGCAATACAATTTTTCATGTAATAAAAACATTTACTAAGTAACCGTGATTATTTTTCAATTATCCAAACGTGCTTCGAACAAAAAATGAAGTTCGACTTCATAACTGTCTTAATAAGGAGATTTTCAGTTTTTGTGTCAATATTAAACATGTTATTGAAAAACTTAAGTTTTGTTTTCAAATAAATTTATTTGAAAACAGACAATACTTTCTGAAGGAATGTACGCCATCTGGTTGATTTGATCTCTGAATTATCAAGGAAGTCGTCAAAAGGGTCTCACATTTTGAGGGGTCTGAAACTGTAAGAACTTTATGATGTGTAATATGTTCTTATTCCCGAAATGTCCCAGGCTAATAAAAGGAACATGGAGACGTTCCACTAAATATAACCAGGTTATTTTTACTTTTTCTGTCACGATGAAACTACGTAGTCAATGGAGATACCTAGACGGAAAGACGTGATTGTTCTGGAATCCTTATAAGTCAAATTGTATTCATGGCTCAAATATATGAATTATTTGGGAAAAAACTTTTTACACTGTTCTAGGGTGATACTTGATTCGTATTCACTTCATATTAGGTGATACGCTGTTCACGTGAGCCGTCTTCCATAACTCTAATGGCTACATAAGTAACCTTTATTACTGGAATTGAATAAACTACCCAATCTTGTATAGTGGATTGACTGAATATGCAAGTAATTTGTCATAGTAGTGTTTGGCAACTTGGGCTTTGCTGCATTACCATCAGCAAACCATAATTTGCAGTGTTACAAATCAGATATTCTGATTTGGATCACATAAAAGACAGTTATGTCCCTTCTTTTTGTTAAAATACAGGATACTCCACTGGATATGCTAGTGAACGTTGAAATGACAAGCCTTTAGTAAGATGCTTGATTTCAGAATAAGATTTTATGTCAAGACAAGGATTTCATATTTATTGCTCAATTAAATCTTCCTGCTAAACTTGGTGGATTTAGACAATCATTCTTGTGCAGCATAGATGTCTCTACAAATTTATTAAGCACGGGTAGGCCAATTCCTCCTTCAGCAGAACAGTCAGAAGTAATAAGAGGGTAACCTAAATTGACTATCATTACCTAGCAATTGTACAAACTTGGTAATATTTGTATAATGAAGTGCATTGAATACTACTCCCGGCAACTAACTATTATTAATGGATTTAAATACGAAGTGTGCCACGAACTGCCTAAGATATTTAAGATACAAATACCGTACATTTTAGTTCTTCTGATTGACTAATGTGACCTTTCTGTTTGTTTTTACAGTCGTATTCAAAATCTCCTGTTGTACGATGAAAAATGACATCATCCGCCAAAAAACAGAAGGCTAAACTAACGGAGGAGACGATAACTGAATACAAAGCACAATTCGATGCATTAGATCATGACAAAACAGGGAAAGTCTCCGTCCCAGATGTAACTGTATTGATAAGAAGAGTAGGTCTGATGCCATCAAACCTAGAAATTGAGGTGAGTTTATCCATTTTGGAATCCCGGAAACTCCACTATTAAGGGTCCAAAACCTAATCAATGTACTGGTTAGGCTTATGATGACGTAAACATATTTAACTAAGGTGATGAACTTAGTGACTTATGTAGCCGGGATTAAATATGTCAACAATACTTCAAGCTAGTACTTATTCTAACAAACCAAGGGAAGAAATATTTGATACGTTTATAAATACAGAAAGAGAAAAGTTACTATTTCTTCCGTAGTATAAGTATTAAGACTTAGTGCAAGCGATACATTCACTTACCCCTCCAGGTTTTTGTAAAAGTTTGTGCAAATACACTTATCAAAGACGAATGCTAGTTATATTATGAGCGGTTTAAATGTAACCTAATAATAATATTTCTACACAAATGCCCTCACTGACTAGTATAGTTCTAAGAACAGAACTACTAATAATTCCTGTTCGATATGAGCTAGGCTGAAGTTGAATGTAGCATACTGAACAGCAAAGGAAAAACACTCGATAAAGTTAGATGTCTCGAGATCAAACACCACCTGAAAATTCGATTACTTAATGCAAAAAGCAAATAAATATTGAGTTTCATCAATATGGTAAAAGCCATAGTCCTTAAACGAAAGTCTAAATCACATAAGGTATTGCAAAATGTGATCTGAAACTAAGTAGCTAACAAATACTGGAAGCAAGCCATCCACTACTGGGTAGTGCATTACCTATATTTATTGACTTGGGTCTTGTATAGATTAAAGGAAACAAGAATTACGCAACTAAAAGTTTAAAGGATACGTCTACAAAAAAACCCAGACAAGCCCACAGAAAACCCCAAAAGGAAGCAACGCATCTAATGTCACTGACCTAAACTACTACAGCTGGTTTGAGAAATAACTCACTTAGCATGTAGTGCTTGTTTACAAAGTAACCGCTAGTTCGTTTTATCTAAAACGAAGACACTACTACACTAAACGGTGGCCTTAGGTCAGTGCACGCTATGGACTAGTTTTTAAACAGCACTGCCAACCACTAGTAGTGGTGCATATTTCATTACCTATTGCGATAACGAAGTTTGACCACTCCACACACGAAACCTAGGAAACGAACATAAATACATATGACATCTACTGTAATACTTAGTGTAGGCATTGCGTACCTGTCAAGACACTTTGGTTTCTCGGAAGAGCATATCCGGATCCACCGTTGACTTTCTACATTTTTTTATTTTTCGCATCCAACATCTTCATTCATACTTCGTATGAAAATGCCTAATATAAGAGTGGTACAACATTTTAGTGGGTTAGAAAGGAATATATAACCCTAAAAACCATAATTTTAGATGAATGTAACCAGTTTGTACATCTAATATCTTTTAGGTATTCAGATAATTTCTAATACCATTAAGGCAGAATCGCAATCTATTTATCAATGTCCTAATTTCAAAATACCATCCGAATCTAAAAAATAGGGATGTAGGTGGAGTATCACCATATACCTATGGAGCTTTATAAGTGAACAACAAAGTTGTGAATCCGGTACTTAGTGGGAGAATGTAGGAAATAATCCCAAGGATCCTATTAGAACTGACATAACTTAGCTTCTGTTTAAACAGTAAGTACATCATTAAACAATTCACCATTAGCTTATACGGTTAGTGAACTAATCAAAATCTGTATTAATTGTTGGGTTTTAGGAGTTGATAGCTGACGTGGACAAAGAGAAAACAGCACTTATTGAAGGTATAACGTTCGATCAATTTTGTGAAATAGCATCACGAAAGTACAATGAAATATACACGGAATCAGATATCATTGAAGCTTTCCGTACATTTGATGTGGAAAATAATGGTTTCCTTTCAGCTTCTGAACTTCGTCGTGCACTGTGTACGGTGGGTGAGAATCTGACTGAGGTGGAAATGGATGCAATGTTAGAAAAGGCTAAGGTTGATAGTGATGGTAACGTGCACTATGAAGAATTCGTTCGTTCTGTAACATCAGACCTTTGATAAAAGTTAAGAAAGTATCCAAAGCGAATACAATACGTGAAGAATAAGATAGTTTCGAAGACGTAGTGATTATTTTCATTGCATATCTAATATATATCTAATTGTCTTAAATAGATGTATTAACCAAAGCTTGAAAATTTACTTCTTAGATTAAGTGTTTTTGTATTGATTACTACATACGTTTACATGTAAAACATCATACATAATTTGACAAAAGGCATTGAACAAATAGAAATTTAGCAAATATACAAATACATGGCTGATGAAAAAACTAGTGTGCATCATATGAGACCAGATAAAAGTAAAAAATTTTCTCTTCAGCTAAAACTATTGAACTTTGGGATTAACAACTGCACATAGTGAGCTCGTGTTGAATGACTAACAATGCCAATTACAAGTAAATAATTTCTAAATTAGTCCAGCATGATTTAATTTTAAGGAGAACATTGAAAGTTAACCGAATCATGAAACGCAAATAACAGCTGTAATTAGTGAGCAAAGATTCATACCATATTCCAATTAATATCTACTGATTTCACAACAAAATATACGAGAGACAACTGTAATTGAGTAACAAATGTTTGGTAAAAATTTTCGCTTCGAGTTTTTGGCTCACGTTCCACCAAGGTGAACAAGAAAGTCACTACTCAGTTCCCAAACTAGTGGGTTATACGAGCGAATCCTAAGAATGAAACGAAGTTCATCTAAACTAATTTGTGTTTATACTTAATAGTAAACTAAGCGACTTTAAGTCTTGATCTTAAGGTTATTAACATTTCACACCTAAGTATTTTTTTTAAGCAGAATATAGGTTTCTATCTTTTTTGTCAAGGAACGAGGCTTGTCCGCAGGCAAAATGGTGGTAATACTATTGAATACATTTAATGAAAAATGAAACACCATAAAAATAAACGTTTTATGAATTAAGGGTTTTCTATTGAGATTTATTTATTATGAAACTATTAACCTAATAAATATGTGGAAACAAGTTTGTATTTTAAAAAAAGTCACACTTCAGCTCCAAGGTAGTTAGATATAACAGACAATGGTGATGCTGAACCGAAGTATGAATCTTGAGAAACATTTTGTTTCAAACGCATTTTTTTCCGAAAACTCTTTAAAAACATATCCTGTCTTTCGATTAAATGGGGAAGTTTCTCCAGCTCGAAAAGTATATCATTATGTGTGTCTAAAAGAGAATCCGTCAAACTTTCCAGGGAATCATAGGAATCAAAATACTTTTGGGGAAAAATTATATCTTCATATTTACGGGTTACACGATCTGTCTTAATCCATTCTTCCGAAGGCATATCGATCAGATTATCGGCCGGAATCAGACGTGTTTCATATTCTTCCACCAACTGATCCCACTTCCGACTTTCACCCTGATACCTTTTGGCAAGTTTATCAGTTAGTCCGTCGTCATTAATTTCGTTATCTGACTTCACATCACTAGATAAAGGATGCTCATCTAAATTCTGTTCAATCAGACAAGGAGCACATATAAGAAGACTTTTTCTTGTAGACTTTCTTCTCTGAGTACGAAAGTCTGGAGTAGAATGTTTAACTTCTTCCAACATCAATAAACTGTTCAATACACCTGATTTAAAAAAAAACAAGTAACTAGATAAATAAAAAAATAAAAACTACCGTTTAAGATACTTTAACTAATTGTATATGTCAGCAGATATGTACTTAATTCAATAAAGATCAGAAAGCAGAAAGCTTGTGAATGTGTTTCTTAAAATTAAAATTCTTTTCGAAGTGTGGTCAATAACCAGACCTTCTTGAGGGAGAGGAAGCTTTAATTTGTACGTTTAAGAAAGGAAGCAAAATGTCTAGATAAGCTCCAATTATGGTAAGTCGATAATCAATCGGAAAATTTGAAGCAACCGTGGGAATATTTATTATATTTTAATTATTAAAGTGGTTCTGTAATGACTTGGGTGAGGTAAATAATTTATTGTATTAAGCAAAATCATACTGCATTTTTAAAATATGAAAACAATACATTGAATACATCATTTGCATATCTTCCCTGAATGATCTCTTACAAGCTCCATCGTTCTTGCATTTTTATTACTACTCGAACTGCCTCCATCATTCTTTCTCTTTTCATGATGTTCCTCTTTTGTCAGTAAGAATTCCATTTCCAATTTTTGATACACACTACTTATATATGTCTGCGTGAGTGGCACATACTATAGTTCTTTGAAAACAGTAGAAAACACATTCAACAAGTGGTCATTGACATTAAATTTGCTCTTACAAACAGTAGTAAGTTTTTGTATTGTTTACATCGAATCGGAAGTTAGTGCTAGCATTGAATATGTATATTATCTTTACCAGTGGTGAGCTCATGATTTTATTCACATAAAATCTGGTACAACTAAGCACCGAAAACAGTATGCGCCACACTGAGTATTCAAGTACGGAGCGGGAGATTGCTGGAGTACCCAAACAGAAGCAGATGGTTTTCTTAAGAGCCAACGCTCCGAGACTTTCAACTAAAGACTTAATTTACAAGTCAGTAGAGTAACATTAGATGAGGTTCTATAGTAGTTGGTAACAAAAATAGATCCATACACGTTGCTTCTTGAAACCCATGTACGCCATTAGTTTGGAACCAGGGTTTTGAAACTATCCTAAACAGACCCTCTGTATCCACCGACGCCATTTAAACTCTGGAAGTTTGCCACAGTCGCATTACAGTGGTAAGACTTACCTGGCAGATATTAAAAACACCATCGCATAAAGGCATTTTGAAAAGAATGGACTCTTCCCACTCTGGGTAGTACAAAGGCATTAAGGGGTAGTAGTGAGATAGTTGGATGAAAACGATGGAAGATGCTTAGACTTAGAAAGGATAGAAATATTACGGCAGATATAATTTTATAGATCTAAGCAAAGCCTTCAATAAGGTTTCTAACTAAGTCTTAGATGGAATTTAGAAAATCTTAGGATCAGTCGCAGAGTTCAAAATCGGATAACTGACTTTCTCAGTAACAGGCGGTAACAAGTAAGTGGACGATGCTTTGAAATCATGAGAATCTGTGGAGAATGGAATTTCCCAATCAACAATTTTAAGCCCTCTTCTGTTCTAACCTAACATGGATAATCTATCAAATATTCACAGTCATTTGCTCCACTGCTTTCTGGTGACATTAGAATATGTGGATGCATATAAAGTGTATCTGATAAGATAAGTTTACACAAAGACTTAAACAGACTGGTTAAGTGAACAAATCAGTGGTCATCAGTTATAAATCTTAGAAGATTTTGTAATAAAAACTACACAATAAATGGAATGGGATTACTCAAAGTAACCGATTACATAGATTTAGTAGTTGTAATACGTGACAACCTTAGAAATGCAGGTTACTGTCAGACAGAGACCTCCACAACCAACTCATCGATGGATCCAAATAGATCACACTGTCATTAGACATCGTTGGAGAGGCTCGACTAAAAATTGTCGCTGATTCTGGGGCACGTGTGTAGACTCGGATTATGCTTTAGTTTAAGCACGCATTTGTCTGTATTACTGGACGTAGAAAATCCACAGCGAGAAAATCGCTTTGAGTTAAACTTAAGAACAAAAAGGTTAATATATTTCAAGGACAACTAAAGGAGTTAGTCAATAGTGAAAATGGTATCAAAGGGTTGTTGAAACATCAGTGAAATCTACTAGTAAATTGAACCAAAAGGTTATGAAAAATCGGTGGATGTCGGCGGCATCTAAAAATGCTTGAAAACTCATGTAGTGTCGGTTGACATGTTAAGCCCATATACCTTATTCTAGCTTTCGGACAAGCCAATCTATTCATTTTACTTGAGTCATATTTTGACCTTATTAATTATCAATCTTGACTGTTTTTATATGAGCGCATATATATGTGTACATTAGTTATTCTATTCCTCACATGTCTGCAATTCACTTTTGTGTGGCTATAAATATTGATTAACGCTTGACTAAATGGAGTTGGCTTACCTGCCATCTCCAATACGCGTCCTTTCGCTTCATATACAATATATATAAATTCAAAAGTACATTATCGCTACTTGACTTATTTAATTTCGTTATTGACTAACGCGATTTAAGTCGATGATTACATACGGGGATAAGCGATGACAAACATTCATACGGTCTACTTGGAGTCAGATCTTGTGTCAATGAAGTGGAGAGCCCATCAACAAACATTGTCCGAATTGAATAACGACAAAACAAAGGACCCCACTAAACTCATTCCATTTGGCTCTGAAAACAATCAGGAACGGAAATAGTTTATATGTGTAGACTGACTTACGTAATGATTGCGAGCAGTGGTGGGTGGCGAAAGCAGATGTGGAAAAGGCAGCAGCGATATGTGACAGTAGACAACTGTGCAGACTTACCAAGTTATTAGGTATTAGAAACCCCACTATGAGTGAAACTATCTCAAAAGAAGACGACACTGTTATTCACTCTCAATGCTGGAGATTGAACCGATGTGCCGAACACTTTAAGGAACGGTTCAACTGGTCTTCAGCCACAATTCAGTTGCCCACTGTCTGGCAAACTGATGTAAGTCTTCCAACTCTTAGTGAGGTTGAAAAAGCTGTAAGTAATCTAAAGCAAGACAGAGCCTTAAATACCATCCCCTGAGTTTTCTAAGGATGGTAGTCTAGTTTTAGCAGTTAGGTTAACTGAAATCTTGGCTAAAGTCTCGGAAGTGAACGTAATCCCATCTAACCGGTCTGGACTGCTGATCGTCCCAATCCATGAGGAAGGACAAAAATCCTTTTATGACAATCAGTTTAACTAATGTGTTTTCTAAAATATTAGCCTCAATAGTACTTCGACGTCTGACTAGAGCGAGCCCGAAAAAACCAGGCCATTTTCAGACCTGGACGTGGATGTATAGACCAAACAGTCAGATTCTGGAACATGGACATACTTTTGATGTCCGACTAGTTGTGTTCCTCGACCTCAGAGCGGCGTCCAATTTCGTTGATCGTGAGGTTCTGTGGCAGTGTGTCATTGAAAGGCGTACCAAATAAGTATACTAACACTGTACAGACTCTCTACTTGAACACTGCTGGTCGAGTCAGAGCTGATGGCGAACTGTCATCGGAATTGGTTGCTTCAAGTGGTGTTCGTCAGGGTTGT